TAAATTCTGAAATAATTTAAAAATATTTTAGCTAATTTTGAAGCTTAAAAAGAAGCTAGAACCGCTTCAATATGCTTTCAAAATTTCGACCAAAATTGGTCAGTGTATTAATTTTTATATTGTTTTTGGTGATTAAATGTAATGGATCAGGAGGTTCTGGTTGGTATGGTGAAATAGAAGAAGTACAAGGAGAGGAAGGAGATGATGATGTGAATACAAACTTACTTGGCGGCTTTTTTGAAGTATCAGAAGGAGTACCTGTGGAAGGTTAGCCAAAAAACAATTTTTGGCATTAGAGTTTAATAAGAATTTTATGGCCATACCCTATCTACTCATTAATTAGTTTATATAAGCACATTAGCCATGTGTCGGTAAACTCTGGTCCTGTCATATGTCTTGGAAATATAGATCCCCGACTGGTTTAGACAAGATGCCGCATAATGGAAGGAATGTTGTGGGAAACAAGTTTTCACGCACAATCAAGGCTGCTTTGGTTATTGAGCTAGGGGAAATCCCAGAACTCCTTATTTCGGCGAGGGTCCACCCCAGAAGGTCAAAACTCATAAGGAGGTCAAAAGACACAAAAGGTCAAATACAAATTTTTGACGGATAAAAATCCATCTTAATCCTCCTTAATGCCCACAAACTCATTCTCAAGAATATGTTTGCCTGCTTCCTTTTGCATTATCCGACAGTTGCAACTAGAGTATCTCCGTCCTATGTCTCTTAATCCCCCTTAATCCCAATAAATCCGTCTTAATCCGCCCAAATCCGGCGATATCCTCCTTAATGCCCACAAATCCGCCTTAATCCGCCCAAATCCTTCTTTATCAGCCAAAAATTTTATTTAACCTTTTAGAATCGACCTCCTGGGTCTTTACCTTCTGGGTTTATCGCTTAGGCAAATTGAGGTTATAATTTTGCCCCCAACTTTTTTTTAATTCATTTGTGGTTCATTAACGTTTTCACATTTAAATTTTTCAGAATTTACACCTCATCAAGAACACAGAGATTTAGATAAAGAATTGTTTGAGTTGATAAAGGGAAAAATTGAATATTTCTTCGAAAAAGCAGATTTTTTAACAACAATGATGCAAACTACCCAAGCTGCTGGACCCATTCAGAATGATTTACTCATGTTTTATAACGTCTACAAAATTTGTACCAATATAAAGCATTATTTCAATAAAAATAAAAAAACTATGGAAAAAGAACTTGGTAAAAAAACAAAATTCGTAAAAAAATTTAAAGAAAAGTTTGGAGATACTTTTCAGGTAGCTGTTTTCATGGGGTGCTGGTAGAGGTGTGGACTGGGATGGTGGGTGAGCCACAAGCTATCCGAGCCTATTTAATACCCTATCCAATGATACCAAGAGCAAAAAAAGTGACCATCCATTCATAAGTTATAGGGTCCGGGACAGGTGTACCGACAAGCTATAGGATGGGAGATGGTCCCGGAAAAGGGATCGGGGAGCAGTTGAGTCCGTAGTCTAAGTTTGATATTAAGGGCATGCTATTAGGAGCAATTATTCCAATAATTATAGGAAGTTAATGTTGGTGAACAGTACAACGAAAATAATGCTATAGCAATGTTCAATGCCTTAAATCAACATGAGATAATTGATTATGGGCAATTTGCACAAACAGAGGATTTAGACAAAAAACTGATTGAATTGATGAAAAATAAAATTAATTATTTTTCAAAAACAAAAAATTTGATAAAAGTTTTGATTGCGCAACAAAATTATGAAAGTGTTAATGACAAAAATAAATTTGTATTCGATCTAATCCGAATTTGTTATGGTATAAAGCATTATTTCCAACGGGAGAGAAAAGCTGTCAAAAAACTTTGTGAAGATTTTTTTGAAGAGCTCAATCAAATGATCAGTGAAACTAATGGACAGGATATATTTAATGTAAAATTAAAAATTTTGTATTAGAAAAAAACCACTAAGCTTTGTCAAAATAAAGAGTCACAGTGAGCGTTCAAAAAGCTCGGTTTACTGAGATAGTGATTTTTCTAAATATAAATCCCGCCTCTCAAAGCAAGATTAATTCTTGTCTCCATTACTCCATAAATCCGAATAACGACGGGATCCCACAGTCTTGACGGGATCCTACAGAATGTCACTTGCCTTTACGCTTACAAAGGGGAGTGCCTGCGGTGTCCGCGGGACTTCGGGATGAAAGTTGATGGACAGTTAGAACATACCCTACTTTAGTATACACTACCATCATTTCCGCTAAATGTCACCGGGGACCGAGTTATAAGCCCCCTAAATTTTAGGGTAAAGTAGGGTATGTTCTACCTGTCCAACAAATTTCATCCGAAGTCCCGCGGACACCCCAGGCACTCTCCTTTGTTAAGGTTTGTTGGGTAAACCAATTATTGAGGGCATAATTTGACTATGGACCTATGTATAGGAGAAATCAAAAAATGTTTCTTTCAATGTTCCAATTATAGACACCTGAAATTACTACCAGGTACAGGAAGAAGGATGTTGAAGCAATGATTAATGAGTTAGAAAGTCATATAGAAGAAAAAGAAACTTCTGGGGAAAATTATGTTAGCCCGTTCACACCAGCAACATCTGCAACCGTAGTTATGCCAATGGGTGAACAACATCAAGAAAAGAAAAAAAGTAAAGGCATAATGAGTTGGTTTGGTAGGAAGAAAGGGTCTTCAAGTAACCACTAGTGGTGGTGGAAGGAAAGGAGAATTATGCATATTGGAAGAAAATTTTGGAAGAAAATGAATTTTTTAAAAAAATTTTTGATGAGTAAAGAAAAAAGACTAAAAAAAGATTATTTTATTTAACGATACATTGGCCCCTATTTTTCATTTTTTTAAATTTTATTTTTGAGTGGGAACTGAAAAAATACCCTCAGGAAACTAAAATAGTCAAAAATATTTTCCAAACAAATACTGTAACAAATGTGATATTTTGTCGTTTATTAAGAGCCTTTCGACTTTAGAACGAGTACTTAGAGCCATGACTAATAGTTTCCAGAGAATATTTTGTAGAGCTGTCCAAAACTTGTTTTTAGTCTGGGCTCGGGACCAGAGCTGCGTCTAAATTTCGATTTCTGATTTTCAAAGATTTTTTTATTTCGACGCTGCTCTGGACTTTTTAGAGAGCTTTTTAGAGCCTTGAAAATTTTGTGGTTTTAGACAGCTCTAATTTTGGGCAGTTAACACGGATTTTTTAACGAATTTTTAAACAATACATATTACCCGAAAAGTAAATATTGAATTTAAAAATATTTGTATATTTATTCTAAACCTTTGCTGAAACATGAGATTATGAAACAAAGAAACATGGGAGGAAACATCCTCTCTTTTGCCTGCGCTAGTCTGCTGTGAGTCTGTCAAGCTGTCAAGTAAGAGGGAGAGAGAGAGAGAAAATTGAGAGTCAAATCAAGCAAGTGCCTTGTCAGGCAGCTGTCTTGTTTGCTTAATAGGAATAGTGAAGGGCTGTCGAAGGTCTTAAAAATTTTATCGATTCCATGCCCCTGACAGGAGAGGGAGAGAGACTGACAGGGGGAGAGAATCAAGCAAGTGCCTTGTCAGGCAGCTGTCGTGTTTGCTTCCCAGAAAAAAAATTTTTTTATCGATTCCATTCCCCTGACAGGAAGAGGAAAGAGACTGACAGGAGAAGGAGAGAGACTGACAGGTGAAGGAGAGAATCAAGTGTCTTGTCAGGCAGGTGTCTTGTTTATTTATCAGAAATAGTGAAGGCAATTGTCGAAGGTCTTTAAATAAATTTTATTATCGATTCCATGCCCCTGACAGGGTAAGGAGGGAGTCGAGGACAGCCCATTTAAAATTATAATCTTCTCCCCTCTCAATGCCATTAAATTTAATTAATTATTAAATCAATTTTCAAAAAAAAATTTTTAAATAATTTAAAATATTTAATTTAGCCAAGTTTGGGGCTTAAAAAGCGACGAAAAGCGCTAAAATATGCGTTCAAAATTTCGATCTAAATTGGTCAAAATATTAATTTTTACATTGTTTTTGGTGATTAAATGTAATGGATCAGGAGGTTCTGGTGGGTATCGTGAAATAGAAGAAGAACAAGAAGAGGAAGGAGATGATGAGAATACAAATTTACTCGGCTATTTTCAAATATCAGAAGGAGTAACTGCGGAAGGTTAACCAAAAAAAACAATTTTTTGGCCTGAGAGTATAATGGGATTTTAAGGATATACCTTATCTACTCAATAAGTAGATTGAGTAGATAAGGTTTACCGAGATAAGGTCTCGGGAAACTCTGATCCTGTCATATGTCGTAGAACCATATGTTCCCGACTGATTTTGACAAGATGCCCCATAATCTGAGAAATGTTGTAGGAAATGCGTTTTCACGTACAATCGAGCCTTCCATAGTAAGGTTGCCAAAATGGAAAGACTCGGACCGAAAGATTGAGTCGGGTCTAGGATATTTGACCCGAAAGTGAATCTAACAGCCCGATTCGATAAATACACGACTCGAAAAAAATGAAAGTGCCTCGACCGTCTGCCCGATTCGAAAATGGCATAACGAATTTTTAGGGTTGGAGGCCCGGTTCGATTCGAAAGCTCGATTCGGGCATCGAATTTTGGCCCGACAAAATGACTCGAAACAGCTCGATTCGAAATACAAGACCCGTAAAATGACTCGAACGTTGGCTCGATTCGAAAACCCCAACTCTACTAATTATATATCATGCCAAGTTTGCAAAGACCCAGGGAATATTATCTCCTTATTCCGGCGAATGAAGGTCAGAATATAACCTAAAACTTTGGAAACAGGCTAAATTTGATTCCAAATTCCACCCAATATATGTAATTCTTTTAGGTCTCTTTAAGATTTGAAAAATTTAAATTTTTCAGATAATGACAGAGATTTGGAAGAAATACTGTCTGAGTTGTTGGAGATAAAAATTGAATATTTTTTTAAAATAAAAAATATTTTGTTAGAAAATTTACTTTATAAGAATCATGAACCCATTCAAAATGATTTATTAATGGCATATAATATCTACAAAATTTGTATCCATAAAAATCATTATTTCAAAAAACAAAAATCAAAAAAATCAACTGAAAAACTTTGTAAAAAATTCAAAAAAGTAATTGAAAAAGAACACGAGTTCGAATATATCTCTCAGGAGGTGGCTGATTTTATGGGGACGGGGTTGCGGTGTTCTTTATTATGGGAACGTGGGTGGTCCATAAGTTGTCCTCTAGGAATGAGGACAATCCCTAACAGGGCTGGGCTAATTTCACATTTCGCGTTTCGCATTTTTCACTTTTCTTAGCGCGAAAAGTTTCGCATTCCGCATTCCGAAAAGTTTCGCTTTTTATTTTTAGATTTCGCCCAGCCCTGATCCCTACCGGTAGGGTTACATTTATAGTAGGGTTATATTTATCCCTACCGGTTCGGTTCGAAAGATCGAACCTGGCCTTGAATTTTGGAAAAAAAGACTCGAACGTCGGCCCAACTCAAAACCCCCAACCCTACCTACCGGGGACAGTTGTTCATTCAGTTCAGCAAGCTTTTTTGAACGACATATCGTTCGAAAAGGAGCATGGGTCCTATAAGTAAAAATTTTCAAGTTTGCTTCAGGTGTTTTTAATTATTCTAATAATTATAGAAACCCGTAGTTTATGAAGATGATACTGTTAACGCAATGATTGAATATTTAAGTAATCATGAGGAAATTGTATATGGGGAACCTCAAGAAGGAGATGATGAACTGTTTGAGTTGATGAAGAATAAAATTAAATATTTTAAAGAAAATAGAGAATCTATGGGAGCATTGATTACACAAGGGGACAAGGAAAACCTTAATAGATATGCGAGCTTTGTATCTGATATCGTTAAAATATGTTTTGGAATAAAGCATTATTTCAAACAGAAAACAAGTGTTGTAAAAGTAAAAAAACTTTGTCAAAAATATTTTATGAAGCTCAGAAAAATGGTCAACGATGAGGATGCAAAAAAGCTATTTGAAGTAAATTAAAATTTTTCTATCAAAAAATCGCTAAGCTCTGCTAAACATGGAGATTAAACAAGGGTTCAAAAAGCTCGTTTATTGAGATATCGATTGTTCTTCTCAAAACAAACTTCAAATCTGATATCCAATATCTGATATACATGTATACCAGATGAAGACCCAACGGGAAGGATCCTGCTGAGTTAATCCCAAAAATATACAAATATCGTGAGTAACTCCCCTGTGAGATCCTCGCTCACCTCCGTCTCTATCCTGTGGACGATGTAGGGTCCTTTTTCGATGTGGGATCCTGTTTCGCGATGGAATCCCACAGGATGTCCCTCGCATTTCTGAGGTACACCACTTATCCTGGGCATTCTTTGGAAAATCATCTTATAGGAAAAATCAAAAAATGTTCCTTCGGTAATTTTCTTTAAATTATCTATTCATAGAAAACTGCTGTTACACCAGTGTACAACAAGATACATGCTGAAGCAATAATTAATTCTTTAAAAGGACATATAGAAGAAGAAACTTATGGGAATGTAACCCCATACTTTACACCAGAAATACCAGCAACTTCGAGTTATATGCCGATGCATGAAAGCCCTAAAAGGAAGAAGAAGTTGGGTAAAGGGATAGCTAAATTGGGGAAAGGCTTTAGTAAATTGATGGGTAAACTTACAAGCAAGTCAAGTGGCAGTAGTGAAGAGAAAGTAATTCGCCTTGGAAGAAAATGAATTTTTTTTTAAAAAATTTTGGATGAGAATTGAAAAAGGGAAAACCGAAAAGACTAAAGAAGATTATTTTATTTAACGTAAAATTGGGCTCTATTTTTCATTTTTTTATATTTATTTTTGGGTGGGAACTGAAAAAATGCCCTCTGGAAACTAAAATACCGTAAATCCTCTAAAATAATCCACGGGGCTTTTTTTCGATCGACCTCTAGAGAGGGCTTATTTCAAAAGGGGGGGCTATTTTAGAGAATTTACGGTAGTCAAAAATATTTTCTAAAGAATACTGTAACAAATGTGATATTTTGTCGTTTAGAACACGTAATTAGAAACATTACTAATATTTAGTTTCCAGAGAGTATTTCGTAGAGATGTCCAAGACTTAGTCCCCTGGGGCCTCTGCAAATTAGATCATATCTCAGATATGACGTGTCATATTTGTGACTAGAGTCCGACATTTAACCCACTAACTGACCATCATTGACCAAATGTCGGACTCTAGTCACAAATATGACACGTCATATCTGAGATATGATCTGATTTGCATAGGCCCCTGAAGTGTCCAGGACGTCCAGGATTTTTTTGGACTTGAAACTTTTCCTGGAGTTTTTTTTTTGGTCTTGAGTTTTGAAAATTTTTACGCGCACATCACTGATTTGGGTCTCCAAGTAAACCATTCCTCTTAGATTTTAGATAAATACCCTCATCAAAACTAAAAAGTGTTAAAAGATGTGATATGTACATGTCGGTGTCTCGGCTATTTGAAGCTAAAAGATATACTCACAAAAACTAACTAACCATAGGTCCCCCGAACACAAAAATCTGGGAACGTTAAAAGGAAAAAAGATTTTTTGAGGGATGAATTGAATTTTACCTTCAAAATTAAAATTTTGAAGGTAAAATTGAAACTTGGATACCGACATTGTACATAATTTTTATTTTATTTAGCTATACAGTATTTTAAACACATTTCTTGGCATAAAAGCATTTTTTTCACAAATTTTTTTAAAATCTAACGAAAAAGAGGGGTGTCCGTGGCACTTTGAGGTGAAATTTTGTAGACTGGTATTTAAAAGAAATTATGAGGAAAAGAAACCTCTGGGAAGCTTATATCTGTCCACATTCCCATATAGCGGAAATGGTGAAAATTTCACGAAAATCTACCTGTCTACAGAATTTCATCCCGAAGACCCACGGACACCCAATATAGTCTCCTTTGTAAGGGTTAATGTTAAAAAAAAACAATTTGTTTAAAAAAAATTTTCTACCTTATATAATAAATTTTACCATATTTTAAAAATGACTAAAAATATGTATGTATATCAACATAAAAGTCAAAATTTATAATATAAAATTAAGGTTTTTAAAGCTATACGCAAACAAAAATAATTTGCAGAAAATCCGCAAGTCAAAAAAAAATCCGCAAAATTTTTTGCGGAATTTTTTTGATTTTTTGATCGATTTCACATTGTGTTGTAGCATAGCAACCTCAATTTAACTTTTTTTTTAAATTTAAATTTTTGATTTAAAGAGATTCGATTATGTCGGCAGAAAAGGATACTTTAGAGGGTACACTCAAATCCCTGATATCCGTCAAAATTTCCTAATATCCTCCTTAATCATTCTAGATCCTGAGTTATCTCCATTTTAGAAATTAAAAATGATATCGGAGGAAAGAAAACTATGTCAGTAATCATCTACATTTTTGTATTTAAAAAGGGCGTCTTACTGAATAGGATTGCCGTTTTCGAGTTTTCGGGCTTATTTTTATCGGGTCGTGCCGTTACGAGTCAATTTAGGGGTTGCCGTTTTCGAGTCTTTCGGTCCGAGTTAGTCCATTTTGGCAACCATATTACTGACGAAATGGACATCTGAGGAAACTACATAATCCTTGTTGAAAAAATTGAATTGAAGCAATCCCTTCCAATTTCCTCTTTTATTTTCTTGCCGACATATTTTTTAATAATATAAATTTTTTAATGCATTTTAAAAAATATTTTAAAATCTACCACCAATTTTTTTCATTTTTCCTTCTTTTCTTCATTAATCTGTGTAGCAACAGGAGAATTTTTAATTATTAGGGACAGCCAAAATATGCACGGAAAATTGCCAAATATGCGCATATATATGCAGCGAAAAAGCCCAAAATATGCATCAAAATATGCAAAATTTGCCAAAATATGCAGTGAAATATGCACCAAAAAATAGTTAAAATATGCTTTAAAAATCAATATTTTAATTTAAAAACACTAATTTAGCCTTTAATTTTACATTTTATGAACACTTCTAAAGGATTTAATATATTTAAAATTTCTGCAAAAATTTTCGGGAAAAAAATTTTCCCCCAAAAATTTTCGAAAATATTTTTTCAAAAAATTTTTATAAAAAAATTTTTTTGACCAAAAAATTTCAAAATTTTGGTCAATTTTTGGCAAAATTTTACAAAAAATGCCTAAATATGGACCAAAATATGCAAATTTTGCCAAAATATGCACAAATATGCAAATATGCACGAAATGGTCGAAATATGCAAATATATGCATTAAGAACCGGGTCCTAAAGTGCTCGTACCTATGTAAAAACACCATTTTTGGGCTTCCCACTTCAAGGCATATCCGCATACAAAACATGCATTTGCATGTTTTGGCTGTCCCTATTAATTATAACACCATTTTGTTCTTCTTTTAAAATTTTTGGTTTTTTAATTAATGGGCGCAATACAAAGGTAAAGAAAGTTGGCCAGACAATAAAATAAATTATATAACCATAAAAATACATTGATTTTAATGGCTAAAAAATTAAAAAAATCTATTTTTTTAATTTAAAATAGAGGCAACTCTCACTATAAGAGACTCCCTTTTAAGGCCGAAAATAAAGTGTCCCTTATAGCAGAGGTGGGTCGGAACAGTCAGAGGTACCGGAAATCGGAAGAGCCGGAAATCGGAACTGGCTCAAAAGTCGGAACTTGGAACTCGGAAATCAAACTTTTTTTGGAAATCGGAAGGAAAAAACGTCTGAAATCGGAATTTCGACCCAGCTCTGCAGTATAATGAGGGGTATATTAAACTGAGGAAATATCCTCCTAAAATAACTCCACCACTCAGTAGTCCACATTTAAAAAAACGTAGCTTAAATAGAGGTGTATCTAATATTGAGGGTTATTAGAAAGAGGTTTCTATAGAATGGTGTACCTAATGGGGGTGTCTCTTAAATTGGGGGTATCTCTCCCTATTTGACACCCAAATTTCTAAAGAGCGTCTCTTAGATAGAGGTGTATATAATATTGAGGGTGTCTTATATAGAGGTTTTAAACTTAAAAAAACCAACAGTAATCCAAATTTCCTTTTTAACAAGTCCAAAAGTCAAAAAAGCAAAAGCCATAGAAACACAAATATTTAAACGTCCAAATAACCAACAAAGAGGTTTTGCCCACCAAAGATTAATTAAATGACGAAATTGGGGAGGGCCAAAAGCAATAAATGTATATAACTTTAAAAGAAATAATTTTAATTTTTAAATAAAATTTAAAAGGTAAATAAATTTAAAAAATTAATCCGCAAAAAAAGTCCGCAAAAAAATTTTGTCCACAAACTTGATCCGCAAAATTTTTGCGGACAAAATTTGTCCGCAAAAATTAATATGCAGAAAAAATCTACTCCTTTACAAATACCCAAATTTTAATTTTTTCCAATAAAAATTTAATCAAATAATCTATTTAAAATTAACAAAAAAACCTGTTCTTGTGCCACCATACACATAAATTCAAAAGCAAATAACATAAAATAACCCAAATGATATCCATGCCAAACAGCCAAATATAAAAGTGTAATTAAATGGCTATAATATTTATTGCCTAGCCATTTAAGTCGTTTGAATATATGGCTGGAAATTTTGAAAAAAAATTAGATTGAAAATAAATTTTTGGGGGGAGGGGACATTTGATCCCAAAATTAATCCAAAAACAATATCAAAAAAAAGTCAGACATGATTTTTTTGGCATTCGAGGTGGCTATAAAAATGTCACGGTATGGGTTAAAAAGGTGAGAGACATTTGATTCAAAAAATCAGAAAAAATAATGCTAGTTAAAAAAGTCCGCAAGTTTTGTCCGCAAATGTTTTGGAAAAGTTTTTTTCCAAAATTCAGGTAATTGTGGATATTAACGTACTCTTGCCATCTCCCATAAATAAAAAAAATTTTGACAGAAAAATTATTTCCCTCTTACCTACACCTCCCCTTCCCCCCAAATAAAATTTGAAAACCCAACTTTTTAGCAAATTCATTAGTACAACAATTAAAAGAGTCAATAACCGATTGAAAATCACTTCCCAATTCCCATTTAATAATATTAATATTTCTAGTTCCATTCCATTTATCATCCCCATTTAAATCTTTTCCATTATAAGAAATTCCACACAAAATTGAACTTCCCTCTGTTAAAAGCCAAGCAACACAATAACGATACATTGTTGATTTAAACCAAATTGTATTCCAAACTATTTTCCAAAATAATGGAAGCGACTTGAAAATTTTTGGAAATTATTTTAAAATTAGTTCATTAGCACAACAAAAATATTTTAAAAATGGATTAATGGGGGATGAGACATTTGATCCCAAAAGAACAATAACATGATTTTTGACATTCGAGGTGGCTTGTAATAGGATAACCACTTGGGAGTGGAAAAATTGTTTCAGAGGTGTCATTATCGGCTAGGCCAGGCCAACCATAATTAAAAAAGTATCTTAGCCCCCCAAGCCCATCTGCCTATGGGCCATATATAGGGAGTACCTAATATTGGAGGTTACCTTATAATGAGGTCTAAACTATTAAAAAACAAAAATTTTTATACCAAAAATTCTGGAGAATTAAAATAACTGTCAGGCACCCAAACAGTCCCCCATTTATACAAAACAGCAAAAAATACACCAACAACAAAACGTTGAAGACTTGCCATTATACTTTAAAAATTAAATTAATTAAAGAAAAAATTTTAAAAAATGTCCGCAAGTTTTGTCCGCAAATATATTCACATTTTTGCGGATTTTTGTTGCGGACAAAAGTTGCGGATTTTTATACTTATTTTTGGACCTATTGGACTTACTCAATTTCTTAAGAAAAAGTCCGCAAGTTTTGTCCGCAAATGTTTTGGAAAAGTTTTTTTCCAAAATTCAGGTAATTGTGGATATTAACGTACTCTTGCCATCTCCCATAAATAAAAAAAATTTTGACAGAAAAATTATTTCCCTCTTACCTACACCTCCCCTTCCCCCCAAATAAAATTTGAAAACCCAACTTTTTAGCAAATTCATTAGTACAACAATTAAAAGAGTCAATAACCGATTGAAAATCACTTCCCAATTCCCATTTAATAATATTAATATTTCTAGTTCCATTCCATTTATCATCCCCATTTAAATCTTTTCCATTATAAGAAATTCCACTCAAAATTGAACTTCCCTCTGTTAAAAGCCAAGCAACACAATAACGATACATTGTTGATTTAAACCAAATTGTATTCCAAACTATTTTCCAAAATAATGGAAGGGACTTGAAATTATTTTTGAAAATTATTTAAAAATTAGATATCCTCATTATAAGATAAATTGGGAGTGAAAATTGTATCCTATAACAAAGGCGAAGCCAGGGGGTCGAATTTCAGGGAGGAGAGGGGGGGGGGATTGAAAAAATTTCACTTTTTGCTCACTCTCCTACTCAAATTTTTTCCTTCTCACTATTTCGGGGGGGGGGGGGGGGTAGACTTAACTACCCTGGCACGTACTATAATGAGATGTCCCCACTCCAATGCCCAGCAAGAATAAAAAATCTTAAATTGATTTTTGACGCTGAAGGCACCCTGGCTATGGGCCTAATAGAGGGAGTACCTAATATTGGAGGTTACCTTATAGTGAGGTCTCAACTAATAAAAAAATTTTATACCAAAAATTCTGGAGAATTAAAATAACTGTCAGGCACCCAAACAGTCCCCCATTTATACAAAACAGCAAAAAATACACCAACAACAAAACGTTGAAGACTTGCCATTATACTTTAAATTTTAATTATAAGACGAAAAAATGTCCGCAACTTTTATCCGCAAATTTTTATTTGTCCGCAAATATTAAAATTTTAAAAAATTTGAAAAAAACCTGGATTGCCTAACTTCATTCCTTTCTTTATCCAAATAATCCCCCTTAACAAATTCTCTAAAGCGTTTTAAAGAAAAATGAGGGCCAGTAAGCGTTCCACTAAAGAAGAAAACAAAAGCTGCAATTTCCAACAAATTTGGTTTGTCCGTTATTGCTGTTTTTGATTGTTGCTGCTCTGATTTTTTCTAAAAAAATTTTCTTAATAAAAAAATAAGTGATCCGATTGGTATTAATTTTTGGCGTTTTATGTCAGAAAAAATTTTTTGTGAGAAATTAATGCAGAAAAACGGAGTTAATAGCTATAAATCCCAGTGTAAAAAATGCTACCCCAATTTTACCCCTGACAAATCCCATGTTACCTCTGACAACTGAATCAACCAAAAATGGAATTAATTTTGAGGGTAGAGGGAAATAAAAAGAAAATAGGGCTTTCGAAAGTTCAAAAATCCCAATTTGTCCGCAAAAATGTTAGGGCATAATACAAAAGAATTAAACGTTCCTTCAAGCTTGGACAGCGAAAAAAAATATTTTTAAATTCCAAAAAAATTCAAAAAATTTAGAAGCAAGAAAATTTGAAAGCAAGGGAATAGGGAATAAAATGAAAGATAAAAAGAGCCTATAAACAGACTATACCCAATTTGAAATTCAAAAAACCCCCAAAAACCTGTAAATGTCCATCATATACATCCATAACTAAAGCAGTCATTTTTAACGTCAAAATACAAAAAGGTGTAGTCCATGTAATGTCATAAGTTGAAGATTCCACAAACCAAATACCAATTAATAAATGCCCCTTTTTTAAGGAAAAAAATTAAAAAAAATTTCAAAAAAATACTAAAAAGAAAATATGTGCAGCAGCAACAGAAAGAGCAGTTCCAGGAATTAAATTGACAATTAAATAGGCAATAATTATTGAAAAAATTGTGTGGATGATGGCTACACCTTTAAAATAAAAATTGTTTAGAATTTAAAATTTTTTAAAAATCCGCAAATTTTGTCCGCAAATTAAAAAAATGTGTGCAAAATTTTGAAAAAAATATTCTTATCCAAAAATTAAAATATTTGCGGACAAAACTTGCGGATTTATGTTACCAATGATAAATAAAAGAATAAATTACTTAAAGGCAAAAAATTTTTTAAAAAGGGCTCATTTGGGTCAAAAATGTAAAAACAGTTTTTCCTAAAAAAATCCCTTATTCTTAAAAAATTCAAAATAATAAATTCTAAGAATTTCTATAAAAAATTCAAAGACCCCCAAAAATCCACCAAATAAAAAATATTAATAAAAATGCCCATTTGGGTCAAAAATGTCCAATTCATTAAATTCTCCTCAATAAAATTAAAATAAATCCCAAAATTCCCCTCCAAAAAATTAAAAAAAACAAACCACAAAAAAACAAATAAAGCAAAATACCAGTAACCACAAAAAATGCATGTTGAAATCTTTCGGGTAATTTATAAATAAATGTTCGGTAAATAATAGCTAAAGGATAACAAGCCAAAATTGCAACAAGTAAACGCAAAGCATCCTCTTCTGAACCAATTATTTGAGATAAATAATTTATAGTCATTTTTCAATGACTTCTGAAAAAAAATTAAAAATATGCCGGACCTCACTTATAAATACACCCTCAATTTAAGAAACACCCCATTATAAGGTACACCCTCAATTTCCTTGGAACCCTCACTATAATATACTCTCAATATTAGGCACACCTCTATGTAATATACGCTCTTTAAAATTTTTGGTTGGCCAAAGGGAAGGGATACCCTCTATTTAAGAGACACCCCATTATAAGGTAAACCCCAATCTTAGACCCTCTCTACAATATACGCCCAATATTAGGCACACCTCTATTTAAAAGATTTTTTAAAAAAATTTTTGGTTGGCCATTGGGGGGGGGGGGGGGGATAATACCCTCTATTCAAGACATCTCATTATAAGTTACACCCAAAATTTTCCAGAAATCTCTCTATAAGATACTCCCAATACTGGGTACGCCTCTATTTTAGAGACATTTTTTAAAAATTTGGTAGCCAACTGATTGTGAGTTGGGGAACTGTCTAACATATACCCTCTATTTAAGCGACATCTCATTATAAGCGACGAAATTTTTATTCTCAAGGGTGTATTTATAAGTGAGGTTTTTCTGCAGACATTAATCAAAAATTAACTGAATGAAAAAATTATTTTGCAATAAAACGATATGGATAGACAAGTGACCCACTTGCAAAATAAAAAAATGATAAGTCGAATGATAAGAAAAATTTTTTTCTAAATAATAAATCAATATACTCAACAAAAAAAAAATATTCGCTTAAAAAAAAAGAAAAAGAAAGGAAATGAGGGGGACGTGCCCGCTCAACTCATCGAATCCTTAACTCATCGAATCGACCAAAAACGCTCAACTCATCGAATCGGCTAAAATTCCTTAACTCATCGAATCGGCCAAAAACACTCAACTCATCGAATCCTTAACTCATCGAATCCTCAACTCATCGAATCGGCCAAAAACGCTCAACTCATCGAATTTTTCCAAAAAGGGACGTTTGAGTCCCCTGTTTTTATTTTTCTCCCGAAAGGGCTAACTGAATCTTCGTTGAAAAAATTTTTTGCTGCTATGGAGGCTAGGAAAAAGGGCTTTTGGGCATAATCGGGGTCTACTGGACTAATTTGGTCCGGTTTTACCCGGTAAAATCTCCAGCATAATTTATTAGGAATGAGATAATGTTTTCAGGAATGAGATAATGTTCTGATAATGTTTTCACTGGCCGGATAAACTTAGATGAGTGCCCGATCAACTAATTAACAAAATTAGTTGAAACCCCAGAAGAAAACAAAAAAAATAAACAAAACAATAAAAAATCTAAAAAATAAACACGGGGACTCAAACGTCCCCTTTTGGAAAAATTCGATGAGTTGATCGTTTTTGGCCGATTCGATGAGTTGAGGATTCGATGAGTTAAGGATTCGATGAGTTGAGTGTTTTTGGCCGATTCGATGAGTTGAGGATTCGATGAGTTAAGGATTCGATGAGTTGAGTGTTTTTGGCCGATTCGATGAGTTGAGGATTCGATGAGTTAAGGATTCGATGAGTTGTAGGGTAGCCGAGGGGGAAAAGGAAAAGAAATGAGGGGGAAAAGGAAAGGAAATGGCTCCCCTACAAAGGATAGATGAATTAAAGGATAGATGCGCTAAAGGATAGATACGGCCAAAAACTATCAAAGGATAGATGCATCAAAGGATAGATGCACTAAAGGATAGATACGGCCAAAAGCGATCAAAGGATAGACAGCTGAATAGGTCGTTTGAGTCTGGACAAAAATGTTTAATAATCTGAATCTTCGCTGGAAAAACTGTTTTTGTGCTGCTACGGAGGGTAGGCCGGGCATGGTTTTCGCTTCACGATGGCCGTGCTTCGCTGCGGTCGTGCTCGCTTCGCTCGCGGCGACCGTAGCAAAGCGGCGGCCGTCGTTCCGCTCGACATGCCCGGCTTCATCCGCAGCGGCAAAAACTTTTTTCCGCAAATATACTAAAGTACAAATAAAATAAAAATCAGAACAGAAACATGAAATCAAAACAAAGATCTGAAAAAAACAAACAAAGATCAGGCACTCAACAGTTGGTACTCAACTGGACTCCAAACTTTATCTATGTTTTACCCAATTTTAGACGTGTCTATACTTTAATGGATTCTACCCCTATCTATCCTTTGGCGCATCTATCCTTTGATGCATCTATCCTTTAATCGTTTTTTGCCTTATCTATCCTTTAGCAGCTTTTGGCCGCGTCTATCCTTTGATCGATTTTAGCCGTATCTATCCTTTGATTCATCTATTCTTTGAGCGGGCACGAAGGAAATGAGGGGGAAAAGGAAAGGAAATGAGGGGGAAAATAAGTAAGTACACCCTAATTTACCCTACACCTTTTTTTCAAAAAAAAGACGAAATAAGAAATGAACTCATATAAAGCAATCAATCTTTTTTTGATTGACCAAAAATCTCAAAAATTAAATTGAATTTCTAAAAATAAAAAGAAAAAATTTTTAACTTAAAATATTTTTACCTATTATTTTATGTATAAAACACAGAAAAAATAAATATACCCATAAGAACAATAACACAATTAAACCTCAATTCTAAACAACTTCAAGTCTTATAAATCTGATCTTCTTCATTTTCTTCCTTATCATGTTCTGTTGTTGAACTTGTTCCTCCTTCTGTCGAACCTTTTTCTTCTTCAGTGCTTTCTAAGAAAAAATTAAGTTAAAAGATCTTATGCCCCCACATAGAGGCATAAAGATTGTTGGGCGGTTTCAGTAAATTTTTTATGGAGCGGAACCGTGGGTCTAACTGTTGGAACTTGAAGAGTCTATTCTTTAAAGGCCCAGAATTTTGCTTAAACACCAAACCTCGGTTAGGATTCAAGGTCATGAATTTCTTTTGAAGTCCTTACGGTTCTACTCCACCCCAAAGATCAGTCGGAATCACTATCTCCTCCGTTTTTTTCGATTTCTGGTTCCAAAATTATGAGAAAATTTCCGATTTTTGATAGTCATCATTTCCGACCGACCCCTGTTTCACCCCAGAGGATCATTGAATTTGAGACCCCTCTTCCGTGGCGCCATCTCCCCCTGACTGAGAATCATTCCCCCCTCTAGCAAGGACGTAGCCAGGGGGTCGATTTCGGGGGGGGGGGGGGGGGCTTTAGCTCCAGAAGCCCCCCCCTGGCTACGCCCTTGCCCTCTATGTCCCCATAAATTACCCCAAACCCTCTTTATTTTATTTTTTATTAAACCTTCAGTAGCCTTTTCCTTCGTTTCAACAATAAACGGAGTTTGATCCTCTTCCAGTTGGGCAGCAGTTTGTTGTAATTTAAGACCTCTACCAGCATCACTCAACATCGACAACGGGACAGTATTGAAAGGCACAGCATCTTCCATTTCGTCACTAAAAAGCTTTGCAGATTTAATAGATTTAGTGGGTGGAGAAAGTATTGGAAGATTTTCTGGAACAGAAGGCTGTTGAGGAGCAGAATAAATATCATCAACATGAACATTTCCAATTTCTTCATAATTGCTGCTATCAGAGACGAGAATTGGGCCTTTAAAAATAAAATGTTTTTTTTTGCGTAAAGCGTTTAAAAATAAAAATAGCTGCCCTAAACATTTTTAATGGCTTATTAGAAGTGGAGTAAGAGTAGCCATCGGGCAACGAACTAACCTGCGCAATCGTTATCAGTGCCTTGTAAGAGTATAGTAGTGGAGGGCTGAAGCCCCCACTTCGAGATGGGGGAAGAGAGAAAAAAATACAATGAAATCACCCTGCTTTCTACGCCCTTAGTGCCTTGCCCCAGACTCCGAACAAATCCTCGTGCCTGCTTCCTCCCTCCTAAAACCCCTCCACAGACGTTTTAAAAAGAAGTCATTGGAATAACCACCCCTTAATGAAGGGAAAATAATTTCAAAAAAGTTCTCCCTGTTTTAGAATAATTTAGGTTCAAGCCACTAAAAAAACTTTTTTTACTAACCTTTATCCGTTGTATGCAGTTTAGGTCGAAGACGTACCGATTTATTCGTCTCGGCGACCACAGGTTCCTTTTTAATTTTTGGTTTGTCAGATTTGAGAGAACTTGGAATATCACTGTAATTTCTGCTGAGATCGCTGGTAGTAGCAAGTACTGACTTAAAAAAAAATTTTCAAAAATTTTTAAAAATTTCCCTCACCCTTTCACTTTTTTCCTCAGCCGATACCACAATTTCTTTTTGACCAGACATCAATTCACGCTCACTTTTGTACTCGTTCTTGAGCAATTTATAGTATTGCTCCATTTGTTGAATTTTCTTATAACGCGGAACGACCAAACAAAAACGCACAATTGCCCAAATTATGAAAGAGCTTTTAAAAATTATTTTGAAGATTTATTGATTCTTTTAAATTTGGGTCTGGGCTTAAATTAATTTTTGAAATCCACTGCACTGGGCCGAATCTGGGTCTGTGATTCATAAAATATTCAGACCCACTAAGATCCTAGTAGATTTTGACCCAAACCCTCCTCCATTGACCCAAACCCTCCTCCCTAGTTGGGCTTGGAAAAATTTTTGAAATCCAATGCCTTGAAGTTTGGGGAAAAATTAAGACATACTAAAAGTCTATTAATCCCAAAAATGCCTGGGTTTAGGGTACAGGAACAATCCGAGCCTTGTCCCAGGCCCCACTCTAATTGGCCTTGGACTAATTTCTGAAATCCATTGTTCTGGGCCGAATCTGAGTCTGTGGTTAGTAAGAAAATCCAGACACAATAAAAGTCTAAGGCGGCCTCAGCCTATAACCATTTCAATCTTTAATAATTACCCAATCATGAAGCTAGCCGAATATAACAAATAATGAAGCCATTCATCGTCCTTGTCTAGCAACATATCAGATTCTTCAAAATGAGAATAACTGCGAGAAAAATGAATTTTGAATTGTAAAAAGAAAAGAAACTCACTCCATAGTTTGAGTTGCAGAACTATCAGGCAAATTAGCCATAGAGAAAATAGGCATAGAGAAGAGCAGAGCTCCAATAAGGAAGTAATTAAACAAACACGACATACTTAAAATGATAAATTACCGTAGATGCTCTAATTAAGGCCCTGGGCGTCTATTTTTCAGTGTCAATTTGGGTGGGCTTGTATTAGATATGGGCTTCTATTAGGGAATGGACGTTTATTTTTCGATGGGCCCCCTTGGGTGGACTTGTATTTTAGATATGGGCTTCTAATAGAGCCGGGCTTTAATTGGAGTATTTACGGTAACTAAATTAAGCTTCCAGCGTTTAAGCTTTTATAATGCCCTAAAAATTAAAAAAATTCCTCTATTTTTGACCCGGATTTAGCACACATATTAAGCGGGAAAAAATATAATCCTCATAATAATGAGGTATTCTGCAAGAAGGATTACATGCTTTATGATTTTCAAGGTTATCTCTCAAATTAGGAAAAAGGGAGGTTAATAAATTTAAAAAGGGAGAGAATATTGAGACGAAATGTCTGAATTTGTTCTGTTGGGCAAAACGAAAGTTAGATATTTTGAAGAATCACATAATTTAACAAAAAACTAGACACAGTTATAATTAGAGAAAGAAAAATAGAAAAGAGAATTGGAGAGAGAAAAATTCTGTTTTCTTTCAGAATAGGGGTAGGGGACGATTCAGTATCGCCGATTCAGTATCGCCAATTCAGTATCGCCGATTCAGTATTGGCCGATTCAGTATTCGAGCTTTTTGGCCATAACTTTTTGCTCGATCAATATTGTGGGAATTATTATATATGATTTGATAGGCCTTGGGGTGCTGCATCTTTTTATAATTGGACTGACCTGATCTGATCACTCTACAAAAAGTTATCACTGATAAACGACGTCACAGGCATAAAAAATCGGTTTTCACGCTGTAACTTTTTTTGTGATCATCAGATCTGATCGGGCCAATTATGAAAAAGATGTCGAATCACGAGACCTTTCGAATGATATGAGAATTATTCGAATCGGTCGAATATCAGGAAAGTTATGGCCATATACTGAATCGGCGGATACTGAATCGGCGATACTGAATCGGCTATACTGAATCGGCGATACTGAATCGTCCTTAACCGCAGAATAGAGTACAGCCCAAGTAGGCGCGCGGCCATAACGGCGCAAAGCCATAACTCGCTTCAAGATTTCCGAATCTTACCAAATTTAGTATTAAACGATTCCTCTCGTCGAGCTAAAGAGATTGATACCAAAATTGATAAGGGTCACAAATTTTTCAGCAAGTTATGGCTTTGCGCCGTCACAGCATCTTAACCTGTTACTTTAAGCCGTTTCAGTGGCACTGAAAAAATAAAAATACAGTATCTTTTTCTTTTCCCCACTATTTCTTTCGCGTGCTATTTTCTAAAGATTTGGAGGTTGCAACTTCGAGAAGCTTTATCTCGAAAAAAAAACTTAGAAAAAAAAATTTTATCTTAACTAAATCGTTAAACAAAGTCTTATCTTTGTTTTAAAACCAAATTTATCGTTTTTTCACATGTTTTATAAAAGTTACACATGGGTTTGTAACTAAATTTAGAAAATGAAAAATAAAGGGAAAAACCTATTTTGAAAAAATTTATTTTCATTTAAAATGCCTTTAAATGTTAAATAAAATGATTAACATTCCATTTTAATAATTGCATACAATTCATATTCACTTAAATAGAGCACACACTGAAACCCTGGCACTGAAATCCTGGCACTGAAACCATAGTGCTGAAACAGCACTGAAAGGCGAGTAACAGCCTCTGCCTATTTTAAGATGCTGTGCGCCGTTATGGCCGCGCGTCTACTTGGGCGTGTCCCCTTTTGAGAATAATGGAATGATCATTTAAATTTACTTGCATTTTCACTTCTTCCAATTTTTTTTTAATTTTTTGTTCTTTAGAAAAACTATGTAAAACATTAAAAATGGCCACTTTTACGGATTATCTATCTCAAATAATTGGTTCAGAGGAGGATGCTTTGCGTTTACTTGTTGCAATTTTGGCTTGTTATCCTTTAGCTATTATTTACCGAACATTTATTTATAAATTACCTGAAAGATTTCAACATGCATTTTTTGTGGTTACTGGTGTGCTGCTTTATTTGTTTTTTTGTGGTTGGTTTTTTTTGAAATTTTGAGGGGAAATTTTTGGATTTTTATTTAATTTTAATGACGAAAATTTAATAAATTTGACATTTTTGACCCAAATGGGCATTTTTTAAAATTTTTTATGCAAGTGAATTTATGTTTTTATTGAGGCTAGTAGCATAAATCCGCAAGTTTTATTTGCAAATATTTCTATTCTACAGAAATCTAATTTTTTTTACAAATTTTGCTCACATTTTTATATTTGTGGACAAAATTTGCGGATTTTCAAAAAATTTTAAATTCTTCTAAATAATTTTTAATTTACAGGTGTAGCCATCATCCACACAATTTTTTCGATAATTATTGCCTATTTAATTGTCAATTTAATTCCTGGAACAGCTCTCTCTGTTGCTGCTGCACATATTTTCTTTTTAGTATTTTTTTTTTTGAAAAAATTTTTTTTAATTTTTTTTCTTTAAAAAGGGGCATTTATTAATTGGTATTTGGTTTGTGGAATCTTCAACTTATGATATTACATGGACTACACCTTTTTGTATTTTGACTTTAAAAATGACTGCTTTAGTTATGGATGTATATGATGGACATTTACAGGTTTTTTGAGGGGGGGGGGTTTTTGAATTCTTTTGCAGGTTTTGAACCTTCCGATCTATGACCTAAAATTTTAAATTAAACATACTACGATGGTGTAAGTTTAATTTGAAAATTTTTGGTCATAGCTCGTAAGGGTTCCTTGTTAGAAAATAACTTGTAGTTCTGCTTATGTTCCCTTATTCACTCATTTCCCTTGTTTCCAAATTTATACAACTTGGCGGAATCATTTTTTAACAGCCCCCCTCATATCACGGCTCACTCAGCTCCTTTCGATTTCGACTGTGACGTCCTATTGAGATCAGACTGCACATGAATAGACCGAAATAAAAGGGTCCCACAAACAACTATTAAAAATTTTTTTAATATTTAGCAACAATCAAAAACAGCTATAACGGACAAACCAAATTTATTGGAAATTGCAGCTTTTGCTTTTTGTTTTAGTGGAACGCTTACTGGCCCTCATTTCTCTTTGAAACGTTTTAGAGAATTTGTTAAGGGGGATTATTTGGATAAAGAAAGGAATGAAGTTAGGCAATCCAGGTTTTTTGAGGATTTTTTTATTTTAAGATTTGCGGATAAAACTTGCGGACATTTTCTTAAGTAATTAAGTGACGTCCAAGAGGTCCAATAATAAGTATAAAAACCCGCAACAAAAATCCGAACAATATGCATAGTTTGCGGGTAAGACTTGCGGACTATTTTTGCGGACAAATTAAAAATTTGCAGAAAAAGACGCGGACATTTTCTCTTATAATTAGAAGAAGGTTCAAAATGCCCAAAATATGTAACAAAAATATTCGCAAGTTTTATTCGCAAATATTCAATTGTCCGCAAATATTAGTTTGCGGATAAAACTTGCGGACTTTTTTTAAAATTAATCTTCTTTAATTTAATTCATTTAAAGTATAATGGCAAGTCTTCAACGTTTTGTTGTTGGTGTATTTTTTGCTGTTTTGTATAAATGGGGGACTGTTTGGGTGCCTGACAGTTATTTTAATTCTCCTGAATTTTTGGTATTTTTTTTTTAATTTTTAATTAGTCCAACCTCTATAAGGTAACCTTCAATATTAGGTACTCCCTATGTCAGACCTGTAGGCAGATGGGGTTGGGGGGCTACGGCCGCCTTCGACGCCGAAAATCAATTTAAGATAATTTTTTATTATGGTTGGCCACTGGAGTGGGGAACTGCATAGCCGATAATGACACCTCTGAAACAATTTTTTTCTCTCCCAAGTGGGTATTCTAAAAATGGTTTTTGATTTTTAAATAATTTTCTATTAATTTTCAAGTCGCTTCCATTATTTTGGAAAATAGTTTGGAATACAATTTGGTTTAAATCAACAATGTATCGTTATTGTGTTGCTTGGCTTTTAACAGAGGGAAGTTCAATTTTGAGTGGAATTTCTTATAATGGAAAAGATTTAAATGGGGATGATAAATGGAATGGAACTAGAAATATTAATATTTTTAAATGGGAATTGGGAAGTGATTTTCAATCGGTTATTGACTCTTTTAATTGTTGTACTAATGAATTTGCTAAAAAGTTGGGTTTTCAAAATTTTGAATTTTTTGGGAGGGGGGGGGATAATTATTTTGACAAAAAAATTTTTTTCATTTTTTGGAAGAGGGCATGGTAAAGGGACGTAGGTAAGAATTAAAAATGAATTTTTTTTCAAAAAAATCTTTTTCAAAATAATTGCGGACAATATTTGCGGACTTTTTTTAGCTTACCTTATTTTTTTGTCATGTGGGATCAAATGTCTCTCATCTATTTTTTTCTTATTTTTGCTCATAACTCTTTTCTCAAAAAATTTTTCGAAGATATTTGCGGACTTTTTTGGGCTTACCTTAGTTTTTTGACATTTTGGATCAAATGTCCTTTTTGGGATCAAATGTCTCATCCCCCCAAAAAATTTATTTTCAACCTAATTAATTTTTTTCAAAATTTCCAGCCATATATTCAAAAGGCTTAAATGGCTAGGCAATAAATATTATAGCCATTTAATTACACTTTTATATTTGGCGGTATGGCATGGATATCATTTGGGTTATTTTATGTTATTTGCTTTTGAATTTATGTGTATGGTGGCACAAGAACAGGTTTTTTTGTTAAAATTTTAAATAAATTATTTGATTAAATTTTTATTGAAGAAATTAAAATTTGGATACTTGTAAAGGAGTAGACTTTTTCTGCATATTAATTTTTGCGGACAAATGCGGACAAATTTTGTCCGCAAAAATTTTGCGGACAAAATTTTTTTTGCGGACAAATTTTGCGGATTAATTTTCTAAAATTTATTTACCTTTTAAATTTTATTTAAAAATTTAATTTTTTAAAGTTATATACATTTATTGCTTTTGGCCCTCCCCAATTTCGTCATTTAATTAATCTTTGGTGGGCAAAACCTCTTTGTTGGTTATTTGGACGTTTAAATATTTGTGTTTCTATGGCTTTTGCTTTTTTGACTTTTGGACTTGTTAAAAAGGAAATTTGGATTACTGTTGGTTTTTTAAAATTTAAAACCCCTCTATATAAACACCTCTTAATATTAGATATCAAGGGTTATCTAGGGGAAGGGGAAAATTTTGTGTTCGAAACGCCAAAATTTTGGCCACCCTTATTCTACATATCCCCTGAAATCCACTCCTGTATACACCCAATATTAGAAACACCTCTATTTAAGAGACATTCTGTAAAATTTGAGTGAATAACACCACTACACAATAGGGGATTTATCTAAAAATAAGCTACACCCTCTATTTAAGAAACATTTCATTATAGGGCACAATTCATTTTTCAGCCTTAGAAAAGGGAGTCTCTTATAGTGGGAGTTGACTCTTTTAAATTTCAAAAATAAAATTTTTTTTTCAATTTCTAGCCATTAAAATCAATGTATTTTTATGGTTATATAATCTATTTTCTTGTCTGGCCAACTTTCTTTGCCTTTATTTTATGGCCATTAACTAAAAAGCCAAAACCGAGAGGCTATAGAGGTTTTTTTTGAAAATTTTTTTTTCAAAAAAAAAAATTTTTTTTCAGATTTGTCATATAATGCTTTAAGATCTATGTCAATTATTATTTACAATACCAAATTAAATGACCAAATAATTGTTAAAAATTCTGGTTTTGAATTGAACAGAAAAGATTTTATGACAATTTTTTGGAATGAATGGTTGAATGATGAAGGTTTGAAAGAAACATATTTTTCAAATTGATAAGAAAAAAATTGAGAGAAAAATATTTTTGCGGACAAATTTTGCGGATTTTTTTAAAATTTACTAGATATCGGTAAAGACTTGTAAGGTTGAAAGAAAATTTTTTTGAAAAGAAGCGGACAGATTTTGCGGATTTTTTCTTATTTAATAATTATTCGCAAACACTTGTAGGGTTGTAGGAAAAAAATTTTTTAGAGAAAAATGCGGACAACTTTTGCGGATTTATTTCCTAATTTAAATTATATTTTTTTATAATGTCCACAAAGATTGTCCGCAAAAATGCCTTCTTTTTTCTTTAAATTTAAAAACTTTGACTGAATTTATTAAATAAATAATGGCTTCCAAAAAATAATCCTCAAAAAAAAAATTTTTTTTCTTTTGAAAAAATCTCAGAACCCTCAGAATTTCGGAAACCTTTCTGAGGTTTTTTCAGAAACCTCAGAAAAATTTAACTTTAATATTTTTAAATTTAATTAATTAAATTTTCCTTAAAAAAATTTTTTTTTCTCAGAAAAATTAAAAATTTTTTCTCTCTTTTTTCAGTTATCAACATTTATGCTAGTTTAATTGTTGATAGAAGCAATAATAATAATGATTTACCCAAGGTAAAAATTAAAAAGGTATTTTTTTAGCTTTTCTAAAAAATTTTTTTCAAAGGTTTATGCTTTCAATTCTTTCTTTTATTCAACTTTATCTTCAAATGGTTATGACCGGGTTAAGCGTTGGACTAAAAATATGGATATTTTTGAAAATCAAATAATTATTGTTCCGATACATTTATCTATTCATTGGTGTTTGGTGGTAAAAAAAAATTTTTTTAATTAAATTTAATTTAAAAAATTTTAATTTAAATCTCAATTTTGGATAAGAGAGATTACGGGTTATCCGAAACTCGATTTGAAGAAAAAATTTATGAAAATTCGATCCAAAACCTTACCCAGCTTTTTTTCTCTGCGCACGACATTCTTGTATTCATACCTCCTTTAGGATTGAAAAATTCTATCTTATAATGAGTGTATCTTAAATTTAGAGTAAATTGGGGGTTAGATTAATTGTATCTTTTAAAGAGGTGTAGGTTTGTCTTTATCTTATAATTAGCGTAAAGTTGGGGTGAGGGCAATAAAAATTGTCTCTTATAGTGAGGTGTAGCTTACAATGAGGACTGAAAAAGTGTAGCTTATAATGAGCTGTATCTTATACATATTAGGGGCGAGAAAAAGTCTCTTAAACGTGGTGTAATAGTGTGAAGTGTGTCTAAAAAATTGGGTGTATCGCTTAAGGAACAAATTCGATCCAATAGCCAATCAGATTAAAAAAAATATAAATTGAGAGTATATTCAAATCTAATTGCGTGTCCGGACAATGCGTCAGTGGACAATCGGTCAGTATTGATAAAAAGTGATTAAAATTGATGATGTAAAGGGATAAAAAGTGATATAAAAGGACTAAAGATGGGATATAAACAGATAGGAGTATTTAAAAAGGGATTTTAGGGGTTTAAAAGAGATATAGAGGAATTTATTGGGATTAAGGCCGATATCACGGGTTTGGGAGGATTAAAGAGATATTAATTTGTTAGGGAGGATTAGGATGGAGTTCATTAGATTTGGAGAGATATCAGTGGATTTTTATCTCTTTATATCATCACTTTTAATCACTTTATATCATCACTGACCGATTGTCCAGGAGCCTCTAATTGTAAGACTAAATCTAAGACTTTCTTAAGTTTTGTTTTTCAAAAAAATTTGTTTTTTTAAAGGTTATTGATTTGGAAGAACGCAAAATGGATTATTACGATTCTTTGCACCAAGACAATTTTGAATGTTTGGAATTGTTACAGTTTTGTTCTTAAATTTTTTTTAAATTTAATGCAAAAATCTTTTTCTAGAGAATATCTAATTAACGAATCTATGGAGAAAAGACAAATTCCTTTGGACATGAATGGATGGCAATTTAATTTTTTGAGGGTTTCTTTTCTTTTCAATTTCTGGCTATACTTTAGCGTACCCAGCTCTTTCTAGTCAGCTCGAGGACTCCTTTCAAATGCTCTATTATTTGCATAATCGAATTTTTAACCTCAAAAATCAGCCTATTCCCCCTATGATTTTTGACCATTTCGAGCCCTGTATCTCGAGCCAAAGTTGTACCATTTATTTTTAATTTCCGTGCCACAAACCCATATAATAATTATTTTAACAAAGATAGATAATAGAGATCGAGATTTTTGAAAAGCCTGGACTCTGGGTTTGATTTATTGACCTGGACTGGATCCTGGGCCCGTAGTCCAGGAAAAACCCAGGCCCAGGAAAACCCAAGGAAGGTCAAAAAATGCCTGGACCTGGACTCTGGGTACAGGAAAAACCCAGGCCTTGGTCCAGGTCCAGCTCGATCTCTAATAGATAATTAGAGTACTTTGATACGTTCTTTATAAAGGGGGTACGCTAAAGTATATTCCAATTTATAGCTAAAAAAAATTTTTTTTTTATTTTTTAAGAATATTCCTCCTCAAAGAAATATTTCTGATTGTGGAGTATTTTCTTGTTTGTTTGCGGAATTTGCATCGCGTAGAGCGCCTATTACATTTACTCAGGAACACATTCCCTATTTCCGTGAGAGAATTGCTTATCAAATTTTGAGGAAAGAATTGAGTGTTTAATTCTAAGAAGTAAAACATGCGCAAAACATTTTATTTTAAATTTATTTTATTTGTTTTAATGAAAATTTTTGATGTTTTGATTAAATTATGGTTTTATTTTGTTAATTATGCTAAATGTTTTTGTTGTTTTAATAGTGTTCTGATTTTTTTTGTTTGTGCTAAATTAAACAACAAAAACATTACCTTGATGAGAGGAAATTCTGATTTATTTGTTTTATTTAAACTTTTCTGATGTTTATTTAATGTTTTGGTTAAATTCTGATTTGTTTTTAGATGTTTATGTTGTTTTGAAGATGTTCTGATTTTTTTGTTTTGTTTGGGTTAATCAAAAAAAATAGTGAGAGGAAATTCTGATTTGTTTGTTTTGTTTAAACTTCTCCAATGTTTATTTAATGTTTTGATTAAATTCTGATTTATTTTTAAATGTTTTTGTTGTTTTAATACTGTTCTGATTTTTTGTTTTTGATAAATTCTGATTTTATAGAGGAATTTCTGATTTTTTGACTTGTTTTCTCCAATGTTTTGATTAAATTCTGATTTTTTCGGTCTTATTTAAATGTTTTTAGAATATTCTGATCTTTGTTAATGTTTTCTCTCTATCAAGTCGTTTCTACAAACACAACAATTTATTTAACAATTACAACAATACAAACAAACAATATATATTGAACATTACAAATACTATACAACAAAATGTTTGGGTAATTATATAGGTATAAAGGCAATATAGGAAAATAGGTACAAATATATTTTTGAGGGAAAACAACAACAACAATTATTATTTTGAACTTTCTCTTCAAAAATCACACATCTTTTTTCTTCTCTGGAACACTTATAGCTTCTTTTATTGTCCTCTCATCATTCCTGCTGGCTGCTCTTCGACTTGTCCTCCTCCATTTTCGAGTTGGTCTCCATCATCGAATTCGCAGTGGTCGCCATTTTCGATTTCTCCCCCATCTTCGACTTTTCCTCCATCTTTGCCTTGGCCTCAATCTTTGCTTTGTCCTCCTCCATCTTTGATTTTTCCCCCATTTTTGATTTTTCCGATGTGATCTTCGAATTATCATCGTCCTCCCATTTTGCCCTATTTTTCTTAGCCTGAAAAGAAAAAGAAATACTCTACAATCACTCCGTAATCACAAACTACCTTCATGAAGAGAAAGATGCCCATAGCTCCACAAGAGATGATAACAATAATTCCAACAAAAATTCCAATAAAAATGACTGTAGGCCCAAAGAGAGAATCCTGAGGTTTAGGCTTTTCAGTCGTTGTTGTTGTCGTTTGTGTGGTTTTTACGGAAGTCGTCGTTGTTGATGTGGTGGTGGTAGTTGGCGGTGTTGTTGTAGTCGTAGGTGTGGTGGTGGTCGTCGTAGTTGTTGGATCGCGGACAGACAAAAGTTTGTAGTGGTCCTTGTCCTGAATAAACAGAAAATTTTTTGAAAGGATTTTACAAGGGAAAATTTAAAATTCCTTACAAATTCAATGTAGAGTTCTGTACAATTTGGACCATCAGGAGATTTGTCTTTGTCGATTAACCCGTTGTCGTAAATTCGCGCAGCTCTCTGTGGAAGCATGTAGAAGACAAGCAGACGATCATATCCTTGAGCCGGACTCATCCCATTGATTTTCCAAGTCAAAGGTTTGGCAATGCCTTTTCCTTTAGGAAGGCAGTATGGATGGTTTTCTTTTTTTTCATCGTCGGGATCATATTTTACATTGTCCGATTCTTCATCCATATAGAACCCGCCTTCTTCTGTTATTGTCAGCTCAAATTCATTGACATTTGGTCGATTCCATTTTGCCGCTTTTTCGCCAACTAAAAATTTAAATGATCAAAACAATTAAAGGATTTATTCGGTTTACTTGGATGGGTGTGAGCAAAGATACGAGGATTTTCGTCGTCCTTGATGCATCTGTTCCAAGCCACCTCGAGAGAAGTCCAAGGCATGCAAAGTTGTTCATCTTCTCCACACATTTCGAAATGTCTGCAATCGTCCTTATTTCCTTTGAGCGGACCGTTCTCAAGTTTCGTGATATTATGCTTAGTTGTACTGTAGCTGTAGGCGAAGGGAAGCCTGAAATTAACTAATAGATTGTCAAACTATGTAGGGAACGAAAAACTAACAGATTTGCACTGGCATCATCAAAAAGGATATGAAGTACTGAACACCTTTCTAGGCATGTACCATTCTTATCATTGAGCTCCACTCCAGTCCTGAACTTGATCATGTTCGAATGCTTGGTGAGCAGATCCACAGTGCAGCCTTCGCCCTTTATGTTCTTCTCTCCGTTTTTCCTGTAGTGGAGCACACTGAAACGAATGGAAATTATTTCAAAAAATTTAAAATTTTTGTAGAAACTCACATGTTTCCGCTTCCCTTGATTTCAACATCACAGGACCCAGAAAGCTTCGTGTACTTAGCAAGCTTGTGGTCGTCTCCTTTTTCGACAGCAACGGAAGAATAGTTGAGTGTGACTTGACCATCCTTCAGAGTGTGGTTGAAGAATCCAATACGGCCATTGTACTCCCCCTCACTGTTGACCTGTCCAAGCAGCACAAAAACGAAGAGAGTCGAAGCAAAGAACATCGGCAAGATGGTGGTAGCCGAACGCAGAGTTGTCGAAGCCTTTCTTGTTCCGGATCCGTCGTCGAACCAGAAGAGCATGACGCCCTGATGTCTTGTTGTTGTTTGTAGAGAAAGTGTCGTTTGAAGAATTTTTTTTAGAAGAAGAAATTTGTCGGCTGGTGTAGAAAGAAGAAAATAAAAGGCTTTTATAGTATTTTAAATCCTATTCCGCGCCGACCTCTAGTAAGAATACAAAAAATGAATTAGGCAAGTAAGTAAAATTACGAGAACAAATACAAGGAAAAATAAGGCCTGAGACGGAACGTTTCGTGGAGTTAGTCTCCTATAGTTTTTTTTCAATATAATTACAACAAATGTTCTGATTTTGTTTGTTTAAATTATGATTTTCTGCATGTTTCAAATTAGTTCTGATTTTGAGGAAATTCTGATTTTTGACTGGTTGTTGTATCTCATGTTTTTATTAAATTCTGATTTGTTTTCAAGTGTTTTGATATTTTCAGTTCAGATTTTGATGTTTTAATGTGTTTATGGAACATTCTAACTTAATGTTTGTATTATTCAAGACTTTTCTACTAAAACAATTTATTTTACAATCACAACAATACAAACAAACAATATATATTGAATGCTACAAATATAGGTTTTAGGGGGAAACAAATACTATACAACAAAATGTTTGGGTAATTATAGAAGGGCAATATAGGAAAATAGGTACAAATATATTTTTGAGGGAAAACAACAATTATTATTTTGAATTTTCTCTTCAACAATCACACATATTTTTTCTTCTCTGGAACACTTGAAGCTTCTTTTATTGTCCTCTCATCATTCCTGCTGGCTGCTCTTCGACTTGTCCTCCCCCTCCATTTTCGAGTTGGTCTCCATCATCGAATTCGCAGTGGTAGCCATTTTCGATTTCTCCCCCATCTTCGACTTTTCCTCCATCTTTGCTTTGCTCTCCTCCATCTTCGATTTCTCCTCCACCTTTGCCTCCTCCGATTTCCCGCCCATCTTCGAATGTTCCGCGGCCTCCATCTTCGATTTGCCCTCCTCCATCTTTGAAGTCTCCGTGGCTCCCATCAGTGAATTCGCTGTAGTCGTGTCCTTCTCCCGATCAACCTAAAAATATCAATTAAGTTTTTAAAAAAATTCAGGGGTTTTACCGGATGTCGATCCGAATCCGTGCTCAGACCAACTGAACAGTAAGGTGGAAGAGGCATTTGACGCGGCCGTAGGTTTTGAGCTTTCTTCGCATGTTTGATCACTTCAGGGTTGATGTCCTAAAAGGAAGAAAAAATTATTTTTATTTAATAAAAAATATTCCTTACTTCGAAATCCTTGGTGGATTCGATATAATCATCGATGACAGCTTCCAACTCCTTCTGATATTTTTTGTTTTTGATCCTTTCTTCCTCTTCTTTCTTTTTTTCTTTCTCCCTCCTTCGTCTTTCCTTGTCGTCTAACTTCTTTTCTTCGTATTTGTAGTACTTGTGAACGATGCAACATGTCGAGACTATACAGCTGCAAGTAAGACTTAGAATGAGGATGAAGACGATGAGTGGACTTGGATTATCCACTATAGTGTAGACGAAGAAGACTCCGAGTCCAATTAATGTGAAGATGGTGATGTTTATTGCATGAAGCATTATACAAGTTTTGTTGCAGAAATTGGTCTTCTTCTCACAGCAGGACGTGGTCATTATACAACAAAAGCAGGAAAGCATTATGAAGGCAAATAATCCACCAAATGAAGCAGCCAACCAAAAGTCATCGCTCCGATGTTTAGGTTTTTTTGTTGTTGTCGTCGTCCTTTCTGTCGTCTTTACAGCAGCCGGTGTTGATGTGGTGGTCGTTGAACTGGTTGTAGTGGTGGTAGTTGGCGGTTGTGTTGTAGTCGTTGTAGTGGTGGTGGTGGTAGTGGTGGGTGGATCGCGGACAGACAAAAGAGTGTAGTTCTGCATGTCCTGAATAAAAAGTTTTTTGAAAGGATTTTACAAGAGAGTTCAAATTCCTTACAAATTCAATGTAGAGTTCTTCACATTTTGGACCATCAGGAGGATCAACATTGACATTGCCATCAATGTGCTTTCGAGATGCGCTCTGTGGAAGCATGTAGAAGACAAGCAAATGATCATGTTCTGGAGCAGGATTCTTCCCAATAATTTCCCAATTCGAAGGTTTGACAAAGCCTCTTCCTTTAGGAACGCAGTATGGATGTTGCCGTTTTTGATCAGTTAGGTTATACTTCCCCTCCTCCTCCTTTACTCCTTTCAAATCCATGGAGAAGCCGCCCTCCTCTATCGTCAGACCAAATTTTTCAGAACCATTGAGATCCTTTATAGTCCATTGAGCAAGTTTCTCGCCAACTAAAAAATATAAATGATAAAAATAATTAAGATTTTTATTGCTCACTTGGATGGATGTGAGCAAAAATATGATCATCGCCTTTCCAGATGCATTTGTTCCAAGCAATCTCGAGAGAAGTCCATGGCATGCAAAGTTGTTCATTGTTGCCACACGCTTTGAACTTTAAGCAATGCGTATCATTTCCTTCAGAGAGCTGCCTTTTCTTAAGTTTCGTGATATTCTCTGTTAAACTGTAGACGAATGGAAGGCTAAAAATAAATTAAAATAGATTGTTAGACTAGTGAAAAATCAAAAACTAACAGATTTGCGCTGGCACCATCAAAAGGGAATTCTTGCCTTGAACAATTTTTTAGGCAGTCCTCAGGTTTGATCTTCACTCCAGTCCTAAAATTGATCATGTTTGAATGATTGGTAAGCAGATCCACAGTGCAGCCATCGTTCTTTATGTTCTTTCCGTTTTCCCTCTTGTAGTAGAGCACACTGAAACGAATGAAGTTTGTTTCAGAGATGCAAAAAAAGCATGAAGAAACTTACATGCTTCCGTTCTTGATTTCAACATCACAGGACCCAGAATGATTCGTGTACTTTGTAAGGTTGAAGACGTCTCCTTCTCTGACCTTCACAGAATTTTCATCAAGCGTGACATGACCATCCTTCAAAGTGTGGTTGAAGAATCCAATAGGGCCATTGTACTCCTTTTCACTGTTGACCTGTCCAACCAGCATAAAAATGAAGAGAGTCGAAGCAAAGAACATCGGCAAGATGCTGGTAGCCGAACGTGGAGTTGTCGAAGCCTTTTTCGTTCCAGATCCATCGTCGAAACAGAAGAACATGGCGCCTTGATGCTTTGTTGTTGTTTGTAGTGACGTTTGAAGACTTGCTGTGAGGAAGAAATTATGTTGATTGGTGTAGAATGACGAAAATAAAGGGCTTTTATAGTATTTCAAAGTCGGCTTTTATACCAAAACTTTTTCGAACAGAAAAAGTTTTAGTCGAAGCCCCAGTAGCTTAATGGTAGTGCTACTGTATGTGGTGAGCGAACGCGCCTAGCAATCCTGCCCGGTGGATAAACTTTTGCTAAACTATTTTTGTATCGTATTTACTCTATTGTCTATAAGCTGGAAAAATGACGATATCTAGGCCATATTTTGGAACACAACTTTCTTTTTTTCCTTCGATTCGAGTAATATTAAATTAAAAAATGTATTAAATTAAAAAATGAAGTAGAAATAAAAAATAAAATAATTAATGAGAGGACAAGATTGATGGAAAATAATAATGGTGAAAATGTTGGGAAAGAAAAAATAAAAAAGGTGAAAAAATCAGAGATAGAAAGAGGGATGTTGGATTAAATTTGAGAGGGTCTCGGGTTCGACACCGCTCGGGGCCCGGAATTCTTTAAGATGTTGAAAATTGTTTTTATGACCAAAATTACAAAAATGTATATTTCTGTTCAGATTTTATCAAAAACACCACTTAAAACTTTTTAAAAAGAGGGATGAAGGATCAAAAGGGGGTCGTAGGTCGACCCAGCTCGAGGCCCGGAATTTTTTTAAAGTTAAAAAACTGTTTTTAATAAGCAAAGAAGTAACAAGAAATAAAAATTCCACTTTTTAATGGTTTAAAATCCTACGAAAAATAAATTTAAGCGGAAATTAAAGATGTTTTCGAGGAGGTCGCGGGTTCGACCCCGCTCAGTGCCTTTATTTTTTTAAACATTTTTAAATTGTTTTAAATGATCAGAAAAGATACAAAATCGAATAAAACTCAAGTCTTTTCTACAAACACAACAATTTATTTAACAATCACAACAATACAAACAAACAAACAACAAAATGTTTGGGTAATTATATAGGTACAAGGGCAATGTAGGAAAATAGGTACAAATATATTTTTGAGGGAAAACAACAACAACAATTATTATTTTGAACTTTCTCTTCAACAATCACACATCTTTTTTCTTCTCTGGAACACTTATAGCTTCTTTTATTGTCCTCTCATCATTCCTGCTGGCTGCTCTTCGACTTGTCCTCCTCCTCCATTTTCGAGTTGGTCTCCATCATCGAATTCGCAGTGGTCGCCATTTTCGACTTCTCCCCCATCTTCGACTTGCCCTCCTCCATCTTTGCCGTGGCCTCCATCATTGCTTTGTCCTCCTCCATTTTTGACTTCTCCCCCATCTTTGATTTTTCCGATGTAATCTTCGAATTATCATCGTCCTCCCATTTTGCCCTATTTTTCTTAGCCTGAAAAGAAAAAGAAATACTCTACAATCACTCCGTAATCACAAACTACCTTCATGAAGAGAAAGATGACCATAGCTCCACCAAAGACAATAACAATAATTCCAACAAAAATTCCGATAAAGATGACTGTAGGCCCAAAGAGAGAATCCTGAGGTTTAGGCTTTTCAGTCGTTGCTGTTTCCGTCGTTTTTACAGTAGTTGGTGTTGATGTGGTGGCCGTTGAAGTGGTGGTCGTTGGCGGTGGTGTAGTTGTTGTAGTGGTGGTGGTGGTAGTGGTGGGTAGATCGCGGACAGACAAAAGAGTGTAGTTCTGCATGTCCTGAATAAAAAGTTTTTTGAAAGGATTTTACAAGAGAGTTCAAATTCCTTACAAATTCAATGTAGAGTTCTTCACATTTTGGACCATCAGGAGGATCAACATTGACATTGCCATCAATGTGCTTTCGAGATGCGCTCTGTGGAAGCATGTAGAAGACAAGCAAATGATCATGTTCTGGAGCAGGATTCTTCCCAATAATTTCCCAATTCGAAGGTTTGATAAAGCCTTCTCCTTCAAGAACGCAGTATGGATGTTCTTGTTCTGGATCGGTTAGATTATACTTCCCCTCCTCCTCCTTTACTCCTTTCAAATCCATGGAGAAGCCGCCCTCCTCTATCTTCAGACCAAACTCTTTAAAGCCATTGAGATCCTTTATAGTCCATACTGTCAGTTTCTCGCCAACTGAAAAATAAATTATTAAGACAATTAAAAGATTATTGTCTCACTTGGATGGATGTGAGCAAAAATATGATCATCGCCTTTCCAGATGCATTTGTTCCAAGCAATCTCGAGAGAAGTCCATGGCATGCAAAGTTGTACATTGTGCTACACGCTTTGAATTTTCTGCAATCTCCCTTTTTTCCTTCAGATGGTCGACGCGTCTTGAGTCTCGTGATGTTATTCTCTGTCATTGGGCTGTAGGCGAAGGGAAGGCTAAAAAGAAATAAGATTGTCAAATTATGTAGGAAATACACTAACGTATTATCACTGGCACCATCAAAAAGGAACTCTTGCCTTGAACACTTTTTTAGGCAGTCCTCAGGTTCTATCTTCACTCCAGTCTTGAAATTGATTTTGTTTGAATGATTTGTGAGCAGATCCACAGTGCAGCCATCGTTCTTTATGTTCTTTCCGTTTTCCCTCTTGTAGTAGAGCACACTGAAACAAATCAAAATTGTTTAAAAAATCCAAAAAGAATGCAGCTCACATGTTTCCGTTCTTGATTTCAACATCACAGGACCCAGAATGATTCGTGTACTTTGTAAGGTTGAAGACGTCTCCTTCTCTGACCTTCACAGAATTTTCATCAAGCGTGACACGACCATCCTTCAAAGTGTGGTTGAAGAATCCAATAGGGCCATTGTACTCCTTTTCACTGTTGACCTGCCCAACCAGCACAAAAACGAAGAGAGTCGAAGCAAAGAACATCTGCAAGATGGTGGTAGCCGAACGTAGAGTTGCTGTTGAAGCCTTTTTCGTTCCAGATCCGTCGTCGAAACAGAAGAGCATGCCGCCTTGATGCTATGTCGTTGTTTGTAGAGAAAGTGTCGTTTGAAGAATTTGTTTTGAAGAAGAAATTTGTTGGCTGGTGAAGAAAGAAGAAAATAAAGGCTTTTATAGTATTTTAAAGTTGTCGTTTATTCTAAAACTATTTTTCGAAACGAAAATACCGTAACCCTTTTTGAAGCAAAATTGTCTTTTTAATTTTAACGTTGTTGAGAATTTTATTAAAATTTAGGCGAATTTAGTATTCTCTCGAGCAATAACAAATCTTTTAATTATTCGCTTCTGTCAAGACAGCGAAAATGTCATCACCACGGAGAATACCTAATTCACCTTTTTTTCAAATTTATTTTTTGTTGTTTTTTTATTCAGAAGATTCATCTTTGTTTGGCATCAGCTAACAGAACAATAATAAATTTAGGGACCCTCAGTGAAGGCTAAAAGAGCAAGAGGGTCTGAAGGCCATGAAAATTTGAAAAAATTCTAGTAAAATAGAATACTTCCGTTACGATCCTCTGGAATCTTTCGTTATGACAGTCTAATCCCTTTAAACACGTTCAGACTGAAACACGCCCTTAAAATCCTAATTAAATGAAGTTTGAAGAAGAGTAATGTAAGAACATATTGGGCTGAGGTTTACTGATCTTATTCTGTTTTCACGACAGTCTAATCCCTCTATAACGACACCCCTCGGGCTGAATTTTGCTGATGTCAGAAGGAAATAGTCGTTGAGACGGAGTAAAATTAGAGTTGTACCCGAATCCTGAGGGCACGTTTTTCGGGGAGCGTTTGAGGATGACTGACAGAATAGCACTCACAATTTATTGTCAGTAATCCTCTAACGCCCCCCGAAAAACGTGCCCTCAGGATTCGGGGTACAACTCTAAGTCAAATCAGGCTAAAATACGTCCCCCGAGTTCGAATTGAGTGACACTTGAAGGAGAGTAATATAAGGAATGGGAGTTGTAACTGAGAGATTCTACTGTATATACAGAAATAACCGTAAGAGTATGACAAAAATGCTTGAGGCGGGAATATTCTGAGACTCAAATGCCCCCCAGTAACGCAAACGTTGGCAAACTGTCAAAATGCCAATTTCTCTTAAAAATAATTTCCAGCTTTTCATTTCTCCTTATTTTGCTGTGAGAAAACTTGGCAGTCTATAATTATTAAATAAAAAAAGTGCAAAATAAGTTTGGAAGGGAAATTAATAAAAAGGTGTGAGAGAGAAACACCTGCGCGGTAATGAACGGTACTTAAAAAATTTGAAAAATTAAGTCGTAAGAAAAATTTTTTAATAGAAGAAAATGTGTGATACATATTATATTTTTCATTGGAGTCATATTAAACCAGACCTGCTCAGGATACGGATATGGATACAGCTAATATCAAGATTCCTGCGGATATCCGCCTGTATCCGCCGTAGATATCTGGATACGGATACTAAAATCAGTATTCATGAGCAGGTCTGCATTAATCTAAGCCATGCTAATGATGGGATATTTGGAGTTTTTGGTGTTGTGTATGGGCGTCAGCCCTTAGAGTGATTAGTATAAAAGCCCAGCCATCAGTTAGTTCTCTCCCAGTTTTAGCTCTTCCTTCCTACCTTCATCTACTTTGTATTTCTGTGTGCGATAAACGTATTTGTTAGCTCCTCTACGTAAGCGGGGTCATAACAAGTGGCGCGGTCGTGTTCAAAAAGAACCAGTAGTCAGTTCGTCAACTTCAGTGAGTGCTCGTCAACGTAAGCTGTGTGTCGTCAACGTAAGCTGTGTGCAGTTCAGAAAAAGAAAATCTGTGTGGACAATTGTAGTGTAGTGAAACCGAAAAGGTTAGTGAAATTGTAGTGTTTAGTAAAAGTGTAGTGATAAAAAATTATTTTTTAGTGAGTGCAAAATGGATGCAAAAACAGTGGAGAAATTGTTGAAGGCTCAGCAAGAGCACTTTGAGAAAATGTTAGTGAGGCTCTTGAAGCCGAGTGAGTGGAACGACACCGAATTGTACAGCAAATTAGTTGGGATGATTGGTGAGTTCGTTTTTGATTTGACGAGTGGTATGACCTTTGAGTCATGGTTGGGCAGGCATCGGTCCTATTTTGAGGTGGAGGGTAAAACCCTGCCAGAATCCTCTAAAGTGAGATTGTTGTTGAGTAAATTGGGGCCAGAAGAGTATGCCCAAATTGAAAGGAAAATGCTGCCAACCAAGTTGAGTGAAATGAAGTTTGACGAACTCTGTAGTGAATTAGTGAAAGAGTTTAGTGACCATAGGTCTAAATTGTTGAAAAGGTTCGAGGCCTTAAATGTTAAGTGTAGTGCCCTTCAAGACATTGTCGAGTTTGGGAATGTAGTGAATGCTCAATGTGAGCGAGCCGAAATGGCATTGTCGATTGAGGAGTTGAAAATCCTGATTTTTATTTCAGGTATGCCAAGTGATGCAATGGCAGTGCGACAAGTGGCAATGAAAAGTGTTGAAAATAAAAGTGAAAAAGGACAGGCAATGACATTGAAGGAAATTATTGAAGAGTGTCGGGCATATATGGCCAATAAAAGTGAGGCACTGTATCTTGTAAAAGAGAAAATGAGTGAAGTGAAGAATGAAGTGCCTGAAGTCAACACAGTGCAAAAAGTGAAATGTTTTGAAAAGAGTGAAAGTGAAATTGGAAGTGAGTGCAAAAAACAGTGGTCCAAACCAAACGTCAAGTATCAGCAAAATGTTATTGAGAAAAAGTGTAGTCATTGTGGACGTTTTGGTCACTGGCGTATGCATTGTAAGTTTTTGAATGATAAGCAGTATCAGCCTAAACGGCAGTGGAATAATGGTAATAACCATCATTCAGGTGCTCCATATTGCGCAATTCTGGATATCTTCGATCCATTGCAAAGTGTAGAAAAAGAAGAGTGGATTAAACAACGAGTGAAGTTTGGAGAAGTGAATATTGAAATGATTGTCGATACTGCATCGCAAATAAATGTTGTCAATAAAGAAGTGTGGAATAGTATTGGCCAGCCCAAAATTGAAAAAGTGAATTACAGTGGAGTGGGGTTGGGTGACAACAAAGTGGAAATTGAAGGAAAGTTCAAAAGCAAAGTGAGAGTGAAAGACAAAGATGTCTTTATGGAGTTCCATGTAGTGAATAGTGAAGTGTGTATCTTGGGATTGCCTGGATTGAAAGAAGTGTCAGATCGGAACCAAAAGCCAAAGTACCAAAAGTGGAGTAAAAAGAAGGCACCATTCAAGATACAAAAGAATGCGTTCCCGAACGGGACAAAAGTGAAAGTGAAGAATACCAATAAACGAAGTGGAAAAATTGAGTGGCTCAAAGGTGAAGTATTGCGAAAGACGGAAAATGGCTGGAAAATCAAAGTGCAAGTGTTGAAGAGTATTGTGTCCAGGTCATATAAAGAAATCCGTCTTGATGAGTGGAGTAATAAAAAGAAGTTGCTCAATGAAGACATCAAAAAGATGAATATGAGTGAAGAGAAAATAGTGAGTGATAGTAGTGTAACTTTATCGAGTGTTAGCAGTGAGGCCAGCTCAAAGAAGATCAAATCAAAGATGAAGGACAACGTTGGGAACAAGTCAATGATGAAGGACGCTGAAGACGATAATAATATGGAGATGTAGATGAGCCACATATAATATAATTGTGATAATATTGTTGTTGTATTTTTTTGTAAAGTTGTATGTATTTATTTTTGTTCCCATTGTCCTTATTCCCCCAAAAAAATTTTTTATGTATTTTTGTTTGTTTGTTTGGCTGGCAAAGTGTGAGTATATTGTAAAAGTGTGAGTATATTGTAAAGCTTCGGCTTTAAGTGAAGCCGAACCTTTTTTTTCAAGGGGGGAGGTGTTGTGTATGGGCGTCAGCCCTTAGAGTGATTAGTATAAAAGCCCAGCCATCAGTTAGTTCTCTCCCAGTTTTAGCTCTTCCTTCCTACCTTCATCTACTTTGTATTTCTGTGTGCGATAAACGTATTTGTTAGCTCCTCTACGTAAGCGGGGTCATAACATTTGGAATATTTAGGGAGATATGGATTAAAATATAAGTTGTCTAAAAGAGTCGTCTGACATATAAGATGCCCCTTTACGTCTAGAAAAATCATGCCTTATAATTAGGGATTTAAATTGGGGGTATGTCTATTAAGATTCCAAATATATGGTAAAACAAATTTAAAAAGACGTCTCTTAAATAGAGGTGTATCTTGTATTGGAGGTATCTTATAATGCCTTAGAATGAGGTTTTGGTGGCATCTCCTAAACAGCTCCTTATTCTGTCGTCAACCAAATTAAAAAATGTTTTTTAAATAGAGGTCTACCTATTATTGGGTGTATCTTATAGCAGGGATATGCGAGTTTCGTGTTTCGCTTTTTAAAATCTGTTTCGGGCACCCTGTCTTCTAGAGAGATTTTGACCGTAGCACTAGTCACACCCTATAATGAGGTGTTTTTAAATAGAAGGTATATTCTCCCATTCAGCTGTCTCTTAAATAGAGGTGTACCTATTATTGAGAGTAATTTATAAGGAGATTTCGTCTATATTTTTAAAAACAAATTTGCACTTTAACAAAATTTCAAGTATAATAATATCGTGCTAAAATAACAGAAAAAAAGAAAAATTTTTTCTTTTTTTACCCAAGTTTTGCCTTAGTGACACAACCTTAGATATTTAAGTAAAAAAACTTTTTCTTTCCTCCCTCCCTCGCGCATTTCCTTTTTTATACAATTTTAAAGACAAAATAAAGGGAAAATTTTGTTGAGGAAATAACAATAAAAACAATATTTTTTTATTTAAACGGCTAATTAATAAAAGTAAAATAACCCTCTTTTTTAACGTAGTTGGGGCAACCAAATTTTTTTTTATTTAGACAAGAGTTTTGTGCATTTCCCCCTTTTAAAGTTAAAAAAAGTGGTAAAATAGCTGCGCTTTTCTTTTGTATTTTCGAGGGATATATTTTGGGGGGCTTTAGAGTCTGAGATTTAAATTTGAGGTAAACAGGTCCACAAAAGTCTGAGAGGACTTAAATGGTGTCTCTAGAGTCGTAAACGCGTATTTTAGTTTAGAAGAGTCATAAGAGTCTGACATATGGCAGATAGGGTTTTAGAGTCTAGGGATAGATTTTTGGGGGCTTTAAAGTCTGGGATTTGAATTTTAGCTAGAGAGGTACATAAGAGTCTGAGTTGATTTAAATAAGGTCTTTAGCGTCGTAAGTTTGTATTTTAGGTCGGAAGGGTCATGAGACTGAAATGATTCAAATGTGGCCATAAGAGTCTAGGCCTTTAGAATATGGGACTTAATAATGGTCCAAAAGGGCTATAAAAGTCTGAGATTATCAAATTGGGTCAGAGACCTTAATTGAGTCAGGGACCTTAATGTCAGCCTCTCCTCGCAAAAAAGGGTCACAAAAATATGATATTTATAATTTCTTAAAATTAGGGGTCTTTAGAGTCTGCCTAGAACAAAAAATATTTTTTCTAGTTCCCAAAAAATTTCTCCGAAAAATATAAAAAAAGATAAGCTCATAAAAGAATTGTTTTTTTATTCATTTATTTCAGACAGTTGGTTGGCGGTAATTTGGCGTGGCGCGCGCTGTCCTTTCCCCCCTAGAGGGTTGGCACTAAAAGACTAAAAAAAGAATAATATAAGGCTGGAATATATGTGGGTCTCATTAAAATTAGTGAAATGAGTGGGGAGAACAGTCTCCCCTTCTTCTGCTGGATGTCTTGAAGAAAAAAATGTTTTTGGGGAAAGCATCTTTTTTTATTGGGTCAATATTAAATATAGGAAAATTTTTGAGTAAAAATGAGGATAAGAAAAAATAATTAATAGTTTTTAGTCAGTTATTGATAAAAAATTTTAAAAATATCACAACGCCAAAAAATTTTTTTAATGCCAAAATGACTTATTCCCAAAAAGATTCACGGAGCAGTTCAACTGAGTTCCGGCCCTATAACTCAAGTATGGGTTGATAATTTTTAATGTTTTTGGTACCATTTGATAGAGCATTAGATGGACTACAATATACCAAAAAATCAAAATTTTCGATTGATAAAAAAGTTATGATCTAAAAACTAACTTTTTCAAAAAAATCTAATTTTCCGGCACTTTATCGATCATAACTTTTTTACCAGTTGGTCAGGAATTTTGATTTTTTGGTATATTGTAGCCTATTTAATGCCCTATCCATTGGTACCAAAAGCAAAAAAAAGTGACCATCCCTTCATAAGTTATAGGGTCCGGAATTCAGTTGAGTCGGAACTGAGGTGTACTGAAAAATTCATTTTAACGCCAAAAATAACACAATGCCAAATTAATGCCAAAACAATATTTCTTCCTATATTTAATTTTAAAAAATATTTATAATCTTGTCCTAGAATGGAAGAAATATTTTTTCTCCCCCAAAATTACTCCAAAACAATTTTTCAAAGAAAAAAAGGAGATTGGTCAGGTTTTAAAGGGTAAATTTTGTGTAATTGAGGAATTGTCAATTTGAGAACCTTTTTCTTTTTGTTTTGGGTGAAAATGGGTTGGTTACCGAAAAAATTAGATTTGGGTGCCCCCTTCTCTCTTTTCTCTCTCATTTTTTAGTCCTCATTGGAAGAGAGCTGAAAGGGGAAGAAAATAAAAGGATAGGCGGAAATGGGGGAAACAACAAACACACGCGAGGTGCTAGTAGCTTCTGGCTATATTAGGGTGTCCGGTTGGTTTCTTGGCTGGAGATGTGGCTATTTAATAAAGGATGTTTTGGTGCAGGCATATTTATTTAAGGGGGGTTCAGTGAATTTTCTGTTGAAAAATTTTGGGAGAGAAAGAGGTAATGGGTGCAGTTCTTTGACCATAACTTTGTGAAATTTAAAGCTTTATAAAAGCAAAGGATGTCAATTTGTTCAGTTTCTGTACTCAAAAGCTACAGAAACTGAACTAGTATCATTTTATAGTCCGAACTCTCTTCTATTAAGAAAATAAAAATTGAAAGAATATATCAATTCTAAAAAAAGTTGTGGGTTCTCAAATAGAACTACCTCAAATTTCAAGAATTTTACTTAGTGTCTGTTTTTTAATTTAATTTTATCAACTTGTAAAAGTTGGAAAAACAAGTTTAATATTATTTAGTAGCCCAAACTCTGCTCTATCGAAAAACATAAAAAGTTACCAGGAAAGCAGATTTTTCAAAAAAATTATAAGCCTTAAAGACGTTATGATCTTTGACTTAACAAGGTATTAAGAGGGTATTAAAAACAAAAAAAATTCTCAAAAAAAATTCTCAAAAAAATTCTCTCAAAAAAATAGCCAAACGTAAAAATAAATAAAAAAACATGCAAAAATATAGCCACAGCAAAAAAGCTTTAGAGAGGCAAAACTGAGTCGCAAATGGATTAATGAAATTAACACCAAGGCTTGTTTTTATTTATAAAGAGGGAAATGCCGATAAGTGAAAATAGAAAAAAAAGAAAATAATGCTTTTAAACAAAAATTCGTTAAAATAAAGAATTGAGTAATGCAATAAAAATTAAATTAAGGGCGTCAGACTCTTAAAAACAAAAAGGGGCAATAGAGTCTCACTAACATTTCTACCCTTTAGAGTCTCTGAGTCGCAAAATCCTTTTTCGGAGCAGTTCAATTGAGTCCCGGCCCTATAACTCAAGTACGGGTTGATAATTTTTAATGTTTTTGGTACCATTAGATAGAGCATTAGATAACTACAATATATCAAAAAATCAAAATTTTCGATTGATATGTAAAAAAAGTTATAATCTAAAAACTTTTTTACCAGTCGGTCAGGAATTTTGATTTTTTGGTATATTATAGCTTATTTAATGCCCTATCCAATGGTACCAAGAGCAAAAAAGTGACCATCCCCTCATAGGTTATAGGGTCCGGGACTCAGTTGAGCCGGGACTCAATTGAGATGTACCGATCCTTTTTAGCCATTTGAGCCCCCTGATTTAATTTAGAATTCAGTAAAGTCGTGAAATTTTAATTTGGGTCATTAGAGTCTCGAGTAGATAGAGGCAGTATAAGAAATATATTTTTTAAAAGTTTTTGGGAGGATGAGCAAAATTAGTATAAAAAGAGCCGGTCATGTATGCGGGACTGACTTGTAGATGACCTCACTAAAAGCGTAAAAAGTGAATTATTTTGTAGTTTGAGTATAAATAAATTGATGGGTATATGTATATTTTAGGTTGACATAAAATAGAAATATTAATTATTTAATATTTTTCCGGAAAAGTTGGAATAATTTATAATATTTTTCGGAAAGAACAAATAAATGTTTCAAGAAAAAGAACGAGTAAACTTTCCGGAAACAATCAGAATTAAATCCGAACATTCCACAAAAATCATAATTAAATAAAAACATCTATAACAAAATTCTGGAAATATCAGAAATAAATTCGAACATGTATCATAATAAAATTTTCCGGAAACATCAGAATTTAATCCAAACATTTACAAGAATTGAGTAAAATAAATCAGAATTAAATCCGAACATATATTCCAGAATTTTGTTGTAGATGTTTTAATTTAATTCTGATTTTTGTGGAATGTTCGGATTAAATTCTGATTGTTTCCGGAAAGTTTCTCCGAGCTCTAATTATAATTAAACTTTCCACAAACATCAGAATTAATTCCAAACATTCCACAAAAATCAGAATTAAATTAAAACATATCGCAACAAAGCTTACGGAAACATCAGAATTAAATCCGAACATTTATCTAATTAAATTTTCCGGAAAAACAAAAAACAGAAAACTATTATAAAACAAATAAAAACCAGAATTTTAAACAAACTTTAAATATCAGAAATTCAAATAAACAAACCAGAATTTAACTGAGAAACAATCAGAAAAATGTTTTCCGGAAAAATAACAAACAAAAACAAATATTTGTTTTTAATTCAATTTATTTAATAAAACACAAATAAAGCACAATTTACAATTACAACAAAAGAGTTGTAATTTTCAATAATTTTCTGATTTTTGAGGAAATTTATTAAATTTTGCAATAATTTTAATTTTCAAAAATAAAGATGATTTTATATATTTATTTTTCTTTTTATTTAAAAATGTTGCTGATGTGCGACGATGAACAGCTGAGAGAGAACAAAATTGATTAATTAATTTTTAAAAATTTTTAATTTTTAAAGACTTGTTTTTTAATTAATTTTCTTGTAAAATTATTCGAGATTTGTCATCCTTAAATCTACCTCTCAAATTTTAATTTTGAAATTTAAAAATAAAAATTTTTAGTGTTCAATCACATTTATAAAATCATTATACGGCAATTCACAGTTTGAAATTGTAATTTCAGCAATAATTAAATTTTTTTTACAATTTTCAATTATAATTTACATCAAACTGCTTAGAATTATAACACAATTTGGGGTGGGCGCAAAAATTTTTTTAACCAGAACACAAACTTTTTCAAATTTTAAAATTTTTCAAAACGCCAAAAACGCCAAACGCCATGGCGCACAACCTTGACTACAACTTTTCCGGAAAATAGTAAATCTCTCTCCGGAAAAGGACAAATAAATTGTTCTGAAAAGTTTTAAATAAAACTTTCCGGAAAAATTGTAAATAAAGTTTTCCGGAAAAATAAAAATGTGTGTTTTCCGGAAACTCTCAGAAATAAAGTGTGTTTTCCGGAAAAATAAAAGTGTGTTTTCCGGAAAATTGTAAATAATGTTTTCCGGAAAAATAAAAGTGTGTGTTCTCCGGAAAAATGAAAGTGTGTTTTGTGTGTTTTCCGGAAATTCCCTTTAAAAATAAAATCAGAACAAGTTTGTTATAATTCAGAATTTACCCCCAAATAATTCTTTTTATTTTTTAAATTTATTAAAGTTATTAAAATAAATAGAAATAATTGTCACCCCATATCAGCAGGCTTATTACCTCTTTAATAATTTTTATTAAGATAAAAAACAATCGAACCACTCTCCCCATTATTTGTTCATTTAAATATTTTTGTGTTTCAAATTTATTTTATTTATTTTTTGGTTAATTTTGTAAAAATTAATTTTTAATTTTATTTTTTTATTTTTGTCACACTTAAATGTCCACTGCGACCTCTTCAAACTCCCTTTCACCTCCGTCATTCCTTTCCGTTTCACTAAGCCAACCTTTTGATTTTCAAGCTGCTAAAGTTTACACGGAATCTGTTCAGTGGGCGGTAAGTTGAAGAAAAAATTTTTTTTTGGAAATTTTTAAAAATTTTTGAAAAATTTTTTAAAAATTTTTTTAGAAATTTTCTGAAAATTTTCTGAAATTTTTGAAATTTAAAAAATTTTTTAAAATAACTTAAAAACCCAGAAAATTCCCAAAAAAATATTTTTTAATAGAGACAAATAAATTCTTAAGGGTATTTGGGTAGCTACACTTTACGTGATTGCCATATTCGGCATTCAATGGTTTATGAAGGAACGCAAACCTTTACAAATATCACTTAGTCTGCAATTATGGAATGCTTGGTTGGCGTTATTTAGGTTGGAAAAAAATTAAAAATTAAATCTTGAAAATAGATGTAATTTAAAATTAATTTTTAAACTCATCTAGAATGACGACCTTAGTTCAGTTTTTAAATTATAACTCCCGAACATTTAACCTTCTAGAAATTATTTTTATACCATTCGATAGAGAATTAAATTCTCTACAAAATTGAATAAAAATTTAATTTTTAATAAATTAACAAAAAAATTTATTGTCAAAAAATACAAAGTCATTTTAGACATAAAGTAAAGACATTTGTATGTTTTTCGACCTCAACTTATTTTTAAATTCAATCTAAAAATTTCTTTTTATGCCTAATTTGTAGCAAATTTAATCCTCTATCGAATGATATCGAAATAGTCTTTAATGATAAATCCGTTGAAAAGTAATAAATTCTGAAATGAACCTTCCTCCACCCTTTGGAAGGACTTTTTCGACAGTTTTTTGACGTTGACTTTTTTAAAACTTAAACTTGAATTTTTTGTTTTAGCCCTATTTTGTAGCAAATTTAATTCTCTATCGAATGATACCAAAAACATCCAAATCTGACTATTTATTAAATAGTTATAAAGCCTAGAAGCAGCCTAGGTCAACAACGCCTACTTAAATAATTAAAACTTGATAAATTAAAAATAAACTTTTTTACAGTATCTTGGGTTCTATTGTGACTAGTTATGGACTCATTCGTGAAATTTTCTTTGGAGATGGTTTAGTTGCGTCTTACACAAAAATTGGAAGCTTTTTCGATGGAACAGTTGGTCTTTGGACTTTTTGGTTATTTTTAAATTTTTTTAGAATTTTGGTCACTAGAGTCTCAACATCGTCACTAGAGTCCGAAAATGGTTATTAGAGTCTAAAAGGGTTATTAGAGTCTAAAACGTTGTTAGAAAGTTATTAGAGTCTTAAATTGTTTCTTCGAGTCTCTGAAATTAGAGACTGGAATTTTGAAACAACCGAGTCCTGGAACAGGGAAACGGGTTCTGAAAGTTGATCGGGAGCAGACATGCACGAAACGTTTCGTTTCGTTGTTTCGTTAGTTTCGTTATGTTTTTTTCTGTTTCGTCTCGTTTCGTGACGAAACACTTTTTAATTTGTTTCGTTTCGTTTCGTTAACGAAACACCTGTGTTTCGTTAACGAAACATTACCTATTTTTCAGGCCAAAACTTAGCCAAAAAATTAAAAAAATTCCACTTTGGTGATGAAAATTTTAAAAAATTTTTGCCTGCGGCGCAGAAATCTGGATTTTAAGCGCCTACAGCTCATAATTTACTATATTTTTTAGAATTTCCCGTTTAATTTTATGTTTCTTAATATGCAAAGTTCGAATTCCATGCCAGATTAGGCATATAGAAAGGGTCTTGCCATTCAGGGTCGGGCGTTCAGGTCATTCAGGGTCGGGCATTCAGGGTCGAGCTCTTGCCATTCAGGGTCGGGCGCAAGAGAATTGAATTTAAAATTTCAATTTCAATAAACGAGAAACGAAAGATGCCAATGATCATGAATAGGGTTGCCGTTTTCGAGTCGCGCCAGTACGAGTCTTTTTCGGGCCAAATCCGAGTCGGTCCATTTTGCCAACCCTAATCATGAACGTTGTTAATCAACAAAAAATCTGACTGACTAGAGGTATATCAGGGGATTTGGCACAAAGCTAAAAGATTATATATAGGCCATGACTGGCATATTAACGTGCTTAAAATAGAATAATTAAAAAAATAAAACCGTTTTTCTTAAATTTTTTTGAAAATTACAATGTTTCGTTTTGTTTCGTTTCGTTTCGCTAAATTTATACTGTTTCGTCTCGTTTCGTTAACGAAACGATTTTTAAAAAATTTTGTTTCGTTTCGTTTCGTCTGAAAAAATTTTGGAGTTTCGTGCATGTCTGATCGGGAGGGACCCGGACCGGGAAAACCAGGAATTCCCTCCCGGTTTCATCCCGGTCTCAGGATTTTCCTTTCACAATTGAAGGGTTGTCTAGTAGAGTCCCAACATCCTTATTAAATGGTCATTAGAGTCTATTAGAGTCTCAAAGTGACAATCTTCTAAAATGCGTCATTAGAGTATCAGGAAATCAAAGTTATATAGCCTCCATAATTTAAAGGTTCTGTATCTCAAAATTTGCTGAACTTGGCGATACAATATTTATTGTGCTGCGTAAACGTCCCCTCATCTTCTTGGTAACCCAAAAATTTGAATTTTAGAAAAATTCTAAAAAATTTCCAGCATTGGTACCACCACGTAGCCACACTCAATTATGGACTAATGTCTTACGTAGACAACACGGCCTTTAATTCCTGGTAAATTTTTGGGGAAAAAATTTTTTGAAAGAAAAATATTGAAGGATTGTCTGGCTCAACTTTTCAGTCCATGCAGTAATGTATTCCTACTATTTCCTAGCTGCTTGCAAAATAAGACTTCCGGCATGGTTTGCACAGTGCTTAACGTCTGCACAAATAACCCAATTCCTTATAACTTTGGCTATATTGGCACATGCTGGTATTAGAATGGTTAATGGATTGCGTGTTGATACGAGTAACGAGAAAAATTTTTTGTAAAAAATTTTTGTAAAAATTCTTTGGTCATTTCAGTAGTTATATCAGGTGTTAGGGTTGGGGTATTCGAATCGGACCGGACCGATCGAGTCTTTTTCGGGTCAAAATTATATTTCCGACTCGATCTTTTGGACCGTACCGGGTCCCAAACCATATTTTTGTCGGACGTTGTTTTGCCCCTCACCCCACTACTCGCTTTTGAAATTTGACGTTATTTCGCATAATCCGGGTACACCCCAACCTTTAAATTTTGATAAAATTTTGGAGTTGCGTCAGTAGCGGTTGGGGCCGCGATAGATTGCTACTCCTACCCTCTCCATTAAAATAATTTTTATTGCATACGAGTTCATGCTGTGGAAAAATTCATTGAATGGGAGATGGAATTGAACCATCATGGAATGAGCCCAGACCGAAGCACAACCGACTGTGCCACCATCCAACCCGATGCTGGGTTATTTATTTTCATTTATATTCTTTCTGCAAGTGCGGACACAACAATTTTTTAAATTCTCCTTTAAAAATATTCTTTTATTTAAAGCTGTCACCTCTTATTTGTACTGTCTTTTAATGGAAATTAGTTATGTTGCACTTTTTGGCAACTTTTTCTATCACTCTTATATTCGTGGAGGTGGGAAGAAATTTAACCGGGAAAAGGCCAAAAAACCAACTGAAGAGCAGCATTCAATGAAGAATGGAACAACAAAAATGGATTAATAGGGATTCGGAAAATTTAAAAAAAAAATTGAAAAATCGCAACTATAGAAAATTTTAAAATATTTGTTTGTTAATAAATTACATAATGTAAAATTTTCAAAATGGTCAAATTCAAAAATGTCCAAATTTAAAAACGGTCAGAATTCGAAATGGTCAAATTTAAAAATGGTCAGATTTCACATTTGCCCAATTCCCTTCTTTTCTTCAATTTTCTTGATCTCTTCCTCCTCTTCCTTCAATTCTTCCTCTTCTTCATCTTCTTCTACTTGCTCCCTTTTATATTTTTCTTCTCTACCCTCATTGTCTTCCCCAGAAAACTCTGTTGGAGAATGTTCTGGCGATGTACTCGAATTATTTGTACATGAATTTAAAAACGAGGAGAAACTGTTTCCAGTGGGCGTTTCAAACATTCGGGCTAACTAAAAAATGAGTTTTAAGGGAATGTAAAAGTTGTAGCTTATAATGAGGAGTCTATTAAATTAGGGGTATTCGTTTAGGCATCTCCTCTATCCATGGGCCAATCAAATTTAAAAAGATGTCGCTTAAATAGAGGTATGCCTAGTATTGGGGGTATATTATAAAGAGGTTTTGACTATAATTATTTTTTACTTTTCTCGCTAGCGGAAAGAGTTGATCTCTTCTTGTGAGCAAATCGGGCCTTAATAAACATAATTGAGCAGCCGCTTCATTAACTACACTTTCATGTCTAGTTAAGGTCCTGTCTGAACGGCGTTTGGCATCAAAACGCCCATAGAATCTTGAGAAAAGGCGAAAATGTTCAACACGTAGAGGGTCGTCTTGTGGCAATGCTAGAGCCTCCAATAGGCTTCTGAAAAATATTTTTAATTAAAAAATAAAAAAAAATTTTTTTACCTTTCCAAACGCTTTTTTGGTTCTAATTTTGGGGGTAATAAATTAATTAATTCATTTGCCAACTGAGACAGACGATGCAGTTCGTTTTCGTTTAAACGGTCGTTGGAAGTAGGTGAGGAACAAGTGGAATAAGAAGGTGGGGGGAATACTGGAAAATAATTGATGTTTTAATTAAATTCTGGTTTTTAATAAATTCTGATTTTGTTTATGTAAATTCTGATTTTAAAAAATTCTGATTTTGTTTATGTAAATTCTGATTTTAAAAAATTCTGATTTTGTTTATGTAAATTCTGATTTTAAAAAATTCTGATTTTGTTTATGTAAATTCTGATTTTAAAAAATTTTGTTTATGTAAATTCTGATTTTAAAAAATTCTGATTTTGTTTATGTAAATTCTGATTTTAAAAAATTCTGATTTTGTTTATGTAAATTCTGATTTTAAAAAATTCTGATTTTGTTTATGTAAATTCTGATTTTAAAAAATTCTGATTTTGTTTATGTAAATTCTGATTTTAAAAAATTTTGTTTATGTAAATTCTGATTTTAAAAAATTCTGATTTTGTTTATGTAAATTCTGATTTTAAAAAATTCTGATTTTGTTTATGTAAATTCTGATTTTAAAAAATTCTGATTTTGTTTATGTAAATTCTGATTTTAAAAAATTCTGATTTTGTTTATGTAAATTCTGATTTTAAAAAATTCTGATTTTGTTTATGTAAATTCTGATTTTAAAAAATTCTGATTTTGTTTATGTAAATTCTGATTTTAAAAAATTCTGATTTTGTTTATGTAAATTCTGATTTTAAAAAATTCTGATTTTGTTTATGTAAATTCTGATTTTAAAAAATTCTGATTTTGTTTATGTAAATTCTGATTTTAAAAAATTCTGATTTTGTTTATGTAAATTCTGATTTTAAAAAATTCTGATTTTGTTTATGTAAATTCTGATTTTAAAAAATTCTGATTTTGTTTATGTAAATTCTGATTTTAAAAAATTCTGATTTTGTTTATGTAAATTCTGATTTTAAAAAATTCTGATTTTGTTTATGTAAATTCTGATTTTAAAAAATTCTGATTTTGTTTATGTAAATTCTGATTTTAAAAAATTCTGATTTTGTTTATGTAAATTCTGATTTTAAAAAATTCTGATTTTGTTTATGTAAATTCTGATTTTAAAAAATTCTGATTTTGTTTATGTAAATTCTGATTTTAAAAAATTCTGATTTTGTTTATGTAAATTCTGATTTTAAAAAATTCTGATTTTGTTTATGTAAATTCTGATTTTAAAAAATTCTGATTTTGTTTATGTAAATTCTGATTTTAAAAAATTCTGATTTTGTTTATGTAAATTCTGATTTTAAAAAATTCTGATTTTGTTTATGTAAATTCTGATTTTAAAAAATTCTGATTTTGTTTATGTAAATTCTGATTTTAAAAAATTCTGATTTGCTTAGATTAGTTCTGATTTAATTAAACTTTGTTTTTATTTAATTCTGATTTAATAAAACATGTTTTAATTAAATTCTGGTTTTATTCTATTCCATGTTTAATTTAGATTCTGATTTTTAATTCATGTTTTAATTAAATTCTGCTTTAATTTAATTTCATGTTTAATTTAAATTCTGATTTTTTAACTTATGTTTTGTTTAAATTCTGGTTTTATTCAGCTTCATGTTTATTTAAAATTCTGATTTTATTAAATTTATTACTCTGATTTTGTATTATTGTTGTATTCTCCTCCTCATTACAATTAATTTGCTCTGGTTCTTCTTTTGCTTCCTTAACAAATAATAAAACACTCCCAGAAGATGGGGGTGTATTAGGAGGGGGTGAAAATGACATTCTAGCCCTTTTATTAAAATTATCAAAAAATAAAGGTTGTTGATTTAAAATGCTGGAAGTTGTTGTTGGATTTACAAGGCTAAGCAAAATATGTTGTGATAATGAAAATGAGGGAGGAAATGAGGATGTTGTTGCTAAAATAATTTTTAATTAAAAATAATTGTTGGGAATAATTCTGATTTTATATTCATGTTTAATTTAAATTCTGATTTTTAATACAGGTTTTATTTAAATTCTGGTTAATTTCTGATTTAAATTAATTTCAAGTTTTAATAGATAAATTCTGATTTTCAAGTTTGTTTCTAATTAAATTAAGTTCTGATTTAATTAAACTTTGTTTTTATTTAATTCTGATTTTTAAAAATTGTTTTATTTAAATTCTGGTTTCATTCATGTTTAAAATAAATTCTGATCGTATTTACTAAATTGATGTTTTATTTTAATTCTGATTTCATACTCATGTTTAGTTTGAATTCTGATTTAATTCAGCATTGTTTTATTTAAATTCTGATTTTGACCTCCACCAATAATTCTTACCACTATTTTGCTGAAAACTTGTAGTTACCGGACAACTTAGTGGAGGGGTTGGATTTAACGGAAAAAGAAAGTCTGGGTCAATAAAAGGAGTTTGTTGGTTGTTAAGTTGTTGTTGAGTTAGTGTTGCCGCTAAATCAAGTTGGCCAGTAGAAGGGAGATAGCCAGGAACTAAAAATTGTAAAGCTGCCGTTAAATTATCTGTGGATGATGAAGTGCTAGGGAAATCTATTGGGGGAAGACCTTAAATTTTGAAAGGATTTTTAATAAGAGAAAATTAAAATTATACCAATAAAGGGAACAGTAGTAATCAGAAATTGTGCTCGATTAACAGAAAATTCGCTTAAAGTTCTCTGTAGGCGGCGAACATGGAGAGGCTTGGAAGCCATTCCAACCAAAGACATAATCTCAAGAAATTCGGTTTCGTCACATTGCATTATTTGGTCAATATCATCACCACCTTGTGAAATAAACACATCAAAATATTGGGTAAGTCGAGCACGGTAAAGAACTGCCTGTAGTTGCCATTCTGCTAAAGAGGAAGCTGTTCGCATCCCGGAAAGGTGAAGTTGAGATCTGAACATTGAAAAAAAACATTAATTAATCAGAATTTTAAATGAACATAGTTTATTCAATGTTCGTTTAAAATTCTGATTATTAATTCAAGTTTATTTAATTAACCTGAATTTAAAATCAGAATTTTGAAATCAGAATTTTAGATAAACATTAAATAAACTTTAATTTAAAATCAGAATTTTAAATAAACATTAATAAAATTTAAATCAGAATTCTAAATAAACAACATGAGTAATTATGTAATAAACTTGAATTAAATTAAATTCTAAACCAGAATTAAAAATAAACATCATAAATCAGAATTTAAAAAAAAACAGAAAAAGTAATTATAACTTTTTTGACTAATGTACTTTAACGGATAAAAAAAGAAAAGTTAGGATTAACAATTAAATCCATAAAAAATCTTTATTTTTATGAATGAGGTAAGTGTATGTCATCATCCAAAAATTTAAAAAAATTAAAAAAAAAAAGCTAAACAAAATTAAAAATCACCTCTGTTGTTGGTCCACATTATTGTTGTTGTTTCCAATTAATAATTGAGGGGATTGTTCATTTAATGGTGGACTAGGCGTAGATTGTTGTTGTTCAATTTGTGATGATGATGTTGATGATTGTATTTGTGGTGATTTACGGCGACGTGATATGTTGGAAATGTTTTTAGTATTATTAGATTGTTGTTGTTTTTCTGACATTTTTCTGAGTTTAAAATAACCTTAAATGTTTGTTTAATTAATTGAGAAGTTTGTTTAAAATTCTGATTGTGTTTGAATTAAATTCTGATTTTGTTTATTTGAACTTCTGATCGTTGTTTGTTTAAAATTCTGGTTTTTATTTGTTTTAATTTTTGTGTTTTTTTTTTGTTTTTACGGAAAGTTTAATTATGATAGATGTTCGGATAAAATTCTGATTTTTCCGTAAGTTTTGTTTGATATGTTTTAATTTAATTCTGATTTTTGTTGAATGTTTGAAATTAATTCTGATGTTTGTAGAAAGTTAAATTATGATAGATGTTCGAATTTAATTCTGATTTAATTAAATTCTTGGAAATGTTTTTATTTAATTCTGATCTTTGTGGAACCTTAAATTTTACTGTGAAATAAAAAGGGATGTTGCTATATTTATAACTATAGTACTCTTATAAATTACAATTCTTGTTTATATTTAAAAAGAGCAAAAATGAGCGACGGCAAACAGTGAGTAACAAAAAAAAGTTTTTTTATAAAAAAAATTTTTTTTATTTTTACGAGCCTATGACGAATAGAAAGAAAGAAAATGGGGGAAAATACAAAAAATAAAGCAAAAAATGGTAAAAATGTAAGAGATGTGTTGAGAGAAGAATAAATGATTGAATGGAGGAGTAAAGAAAATTTTTGTTTAGAAATGATTTTTTTAATAAAAAAATAAATATTGTATAGTGTGATTGAGAAAAAAAAAGTTTAAAAAATAATTAAAAATAAATTTCGAAATTTAAGGGAAAAAATACAATTACAAATAAAATTACAATTTGTAAAAACAAGCAGTTGAAAATAAACCTGAAATCAGAATAATATTAAAAATATTTGAAGACCAATTACAATTTGTAAAAGAAATAAACTTGAAACATGAGATCAGAAACTTAAGATTAGAAACTTGAAATGAACTTGAATTCTTTTAAAATCAGAATTTCTAATAAACAAACTTTAAACCAGAATTTAGAATATATTAAACTTGAAACCAGAATTTTTAATCAAAAGAAATTCTGATTTTAATTAAAACATGAAATAAATAAACTTGAAATAAAAAATCAGAACTTAAAATCAGAATTTTAGAAGAAAAAAATTAAACTTTAAAATCAGAATATAAGAAATAAACTTGAATTAATTATACCAGAAAATAAACTTATTTTTAAAATCAGAATTTTTATTAAATAAACTTGAAACAAGAATAAACTTGAAACCAGAATTATTGTTTTATTAAATATTCCAAATAAAGTAAAAATAAATTATTAAATAAATAAAAATAAATAAAATTACCTTACCCCCTTCTCACTTAAAAATAAATTTCCGTTACTCAAAAATAAATATAATAATAATTTTTTTTTATTTTTTTTTATTTCAATTTTTTGCCTGAACGCCAGGGTCGCGTTGTTTTGTTTGAAGCAAATGGGTGCCAGTCAAAGAGTGACTCAAATAATATATCCACCCATGAAAATAAAAAAAATAAAACAAAAAAATAATTGACTTGTCGACTAGTCAAGTAATTTTTTATTGGAATAAAAAAAATTTTTTTTTATTTTATTGGTAAGGAAAAAATTGAGGCGAAATAATGTACTTTTAATTTTCTGAAGCAAAATGTAGAAGCAAAATAAACAATAGAATTCTGGTTTCAAGTTTATTTTTAATAATTCTGATTTATCTGAATAGAAAAATAAATAAACTTAAAAATCAGAATTATTTCAAACTTTTATTTAATAGAAATTCTGATTTTTAAGTTTAATTTCTGGTAGTATAAAACTTTAAATAATTCTGATTTATTTTCAAGTTTATTTGCAAAATTCTGATTTTCAAGTTTTTGAATTTGTATTAATTCTGATTTATGGTCTGCCAAGTTTATTTATGTAAATTCTGAATTTTTATAAAATTCTGATTTCAAGTTTATTTAAATTCTGATTTAAATTTGTTCAAGTTTATTTTCAAGTTTATTTTAAAGTTTAATTATTTAAATTCTGATTTTTAAATCAGAATTATTAAAATAAAATAAACAGAAGATATAAAAATAATAATAAAACGGACAGTCGGAAGGAGTAGACACAAACTGATTTTGCACTTTTACTAGCTCGTGACCGCCTCCTTCCCCCACAGCTCTAAGTATACAAAAAAAAGTCATCGTCCAACCGTCTTCGCCATTTATTTTTTTTATTTCACCCCAATAATTTTTTTTCCGAATTTTTTTATTTTTTCCATCATCCATTCTACTCACTTGACAAGAGGGGACATTAGAGTATAAAAATTTTTTTATTAAAAATATGACTCCAGACTCTAAAGACCCTTAAAATGAAGGCAAGAATAATTACCGTATTCAATGCCCCCACCGATAATTTAAAAATTTCTTGGACCAGAAATTCTGATTTTTCCAACTTTCTCAGACTCTACTGTCCCTAATTCCACACAATTTTTTTTATTCCCCGCATTTTCTCTAATTTTTTTTTTCTCTTTTATTTTCTGTCAGTTGCTCGCCCCTTTTAATGCAAAAAATAGCTGTGAATAAAAAACAATACAAAAAATAGGCGGCTGGTAGCGGGAGAAGTCTTCTCTTTGTAGTACACAAACAGATTGACGGAGAGAGGGAGGGAATATTAGAGTATTTATTTAATCAGAATTTTTAATTAAAGAAATTCTGATTTTAATTAAAAACTTGAAGCAGAAAATAAAACTTGAAATCAGAATTTCTTTTAATTAAAATCAGAATTTTTAATTTAAAAAATTCTGATTTTAATTAAAACTTGAAAATAAACTTGAAATAAAAAAGAAACTTAAAATCAGAATTTTTATTAAAAATCAGAATTATGAGAATAATAAAAAAATAAACTTTAAAATCAGAAATTATTTTAATAAATAAACTTAGAATCAGAATTTTTTTATTAAACAAACTTTTGTAGCATTAAAAATAATTTAAAATTAATTAATGATTTAATAACAAGACTTAAATGTCCATTTTTACTAAAAAAATTTTTTTTATTCGAAATTTTTTTTATTTTAGTAATTGTCTTTCGCTCGGCGCCAACTCAGCTATTTTTAAGTTTTTTTAAATATTTTTTTTTATTTGATTGTTTTTGTTGCCTTCTGTCCTATTTCTCTGTCCCATTTACTTTGTCTACAATTTTATATATTTATTTTTCAGTCTCGAAATAAAAAAACTTAGTTATTTTATTATGTTAAAACTTGAAATCAGAATTTTAGAAAATTCAAAATCAGAATTTTCAAAGCTTGAAAAAAATAAACTTGAATTATTAAAAATCAGAATAAAAGAATAAATAAATAAACTTTTTCAGAATTAAAAAATAAACTTGAAAATCAGAATTTTTACAAATAAATATATTAAAACTTTAAATCAGAATTTTAGAAATTTAAAAATCAGAATTTACAAAAATTAAACTTGGAATAAAATAAACTTGAATTAATAAATCAGAATTTTTGCAGATACTAAATAAACTTGGAATCAGAATTTTTATGATAATTAAACTTGAAGCAAAAATTTCTGCAGTAAAATACCTAATTATTTTTAAACCAATTTTCAAAAAAAATAAATATTTTAGTAATAAAAAAATTTAAAAAAATCTAGGGAGAATAAAATTGGATTCGCCAGCCATCAAACACTGACAGAAAAATTCCTGCGAGTATTTTAGTAGTTTTTTAAAAAAATACAAGAAACCAAAGAGCAAATAAAAATATGAGAGAAAGGTGCAGAATGGTGTTTTTAAAGAAAAAGAACTGGAATGCCTAAATAAAAAAAATTAAAAAAAAATAAAATAACAAACATAAGAGCCCCGGTTGTGTATAGGGAGAGGGGAGTGGGCGAAATAAAAAAATTATTTTTTTAATAAAAAAAATAAATAAAATAGTAAATACGTGGAAAAATATAGGGAAGATAAAATAAAAAGATTATTTTAATTTTTTTTGAATTAAATTTAAAAAAAATACGAAGATAAGCAATTGACCGTTGGACAATGCTTAGTAGCTAGTAATAACCTGAAACAAAAAACCTGAAACAAAAAACCTGAAACAAAACACCTAAAACATGTTTTAAATAAATTCTGATAAAAATTCTGATTTTCAGAATTTATTTTTTAATGTTTGTAAAACAAGTTTTAAAAAAATTCTGATTTCTTTCTATAATTGTAAATTCTGATTTTTTAATGTTCAAATAAGTTTATTTATGTTTAATTCTGATTTTCAAGTTTATTTTTTACAGTTTGTCAAACAAGTTTAATTTAAACAAAAATTCTGATTTTTCCCTTAAATATCGAATTTAAGTTTATTTAAAAATTATTGCTCTTCAAGTTTATTTATATAATTCTGATTTTATTAAATTCTGAATTAAAGTTTATTTAATATTCTGATATGTAATATACCCTATAAAAAGCCAAAAGAATACATTTTTGCTGCATGCACTGTAAAATATTTTTTTAAAGTTTTTATAATTTTCGGCGTATTTGCTTAATTTTTTTTATTTTTTCTATTCATTGCGCGATGTACGGAATTCAGCTATCCTTCGGATTATTTTTTGGAAGCAAAAAAAAAAATTATATAAAAAATAGCTAGAAGAGAATGAAGAAAAGTACACAACCAATTTAATTCTCATGTAAATCGAAAAAAATTGTCTGAATCGAAGAAAATTTCAGACGTGTTCTACCGTTATAAACAAAAAAAAAAAGAAATCTTTATTATAATTTTGATTTTCGGAAATATGTATGACTTAATCGCAAACATATAGCTCTTGAAGAGCGGTGTCTATTTTGGACGAAGGTGGTGTTATTGCAGACAATCTCTTGATAATAATATCAATAATCAAAACATTAAAGATTTTGTCCAATGCTAATGTTAAAATAAAAAAAAATAATTTTTTATCGAGAATTGAGGTAAAACAAAAATAAATTTAAAAGTCAAACAAAAATATAAATACACTATTGGGTACTTTATTAATATTCCCCCCCCCCCTACACCTATTTGATTCTCAAATTAATTTTCTTGTTTTTTTATTTTTCCTGCTTCGGAATGATCAAATTTCTTTAATTATAAATGAATTTTTGCTGTTGCCGTCTATTTTTCATTCCTAATACTTGCCTTTTATCTGTAATGTTTGAAGGAAAAAAATGATTGACAGCAGGGATGAGTGCAAGAGACAATCTCAAAGTACCCACAATTGTTGAGATTCGGTACTTAACAGCATTTATAGTAATAATGGAATGGTCCCGCTCCAGAGATATAATGCGGCAAAGGTTTGTGTTTCAGTTTAATCGTAATGTCGTGTTCTTCGATCTTAGAAGATTTCTTCTCCCACTTTTTCTCAGGTAAGTACTGTTGCAATTTCTCCTTCACCTTTTGTTTGTCTATTAATTGAAATTTGTAACTAAATCTTTCGATGTCGTCAATCATTTCTTCTAATTCATCAGATCCATAAAAAACTTCAAAGTGGTCCGAGTGCATACTAAAAATGAAAAAAATGTGTGAAAATGGAAGTGAATATAAACTTTTAATTAAACAGTTCTACTATAAGAAATAACTGAGTGGTAACCAAGACTGGGCGTAATTGCGGATTACGTGTTTTTCTGATTTACGAATTGCGTTTGCGGATTTTTAAGATTTTTACGCAATTTTTTCCAGATTTCTAGTACCATAAATAGGGAAATTTTACTCCTTGGTATTCCAAAATTTCTTCCAAAATTTCAAAAATTTTCGCCTGCGGCACTGAAAAAAGAATCAACTCACTAATCCTTGATATTTCTCAAATCACTGATATACTTTGAATCAATATACCACCTTTAATATCTCCAATCACCTTATATTCTCGGATTACCCCTTATATCCTCAGATTGAGTGTTTTTTTGACTTGTTGCGTTTGCGGATTTTAAGATAAAAATTGCGTTTGTGGAAATTTTTTTCCAATTGCACCCAGCCGGGTGTTAAGTGTTATATAGTGTTAAATAATGTTAACAGCCTAACTAAAAGTTAAATTTTTAACCAAGAAAATTTCACAGACATCACTAAATTAAGAAATACGTACTCATCAGCGGAAGCGATGACCGAACCAAAACAATCAAAACCTCGTTGACAAGTGCAAGCAATTCTAGCCAGAAATTTTGTAGCATTATGAGTGTCTATAGCCAAATTAAAATGTTTATATAAGTGTTTAATAGTGCTGGAATAGCAAGCATACGCCTTAAAAATAACAAGAATATCGAAACTAAGATATAGAAACACCACCTTCTCTCTAGCTTGTATGCTGTTTCCAACCCGCATGTAGCCTTTTGCATCCTTGATAAGCTCGAAAGGAGTTCTATAAATCTTTTTTTGAACCTACAAATTAAAATAAGTATTTGACTTGTTTAAGAGTCTATTAGATCTGAATCACAAGAAACAAAAACTCCAGTGGAAAGTCAAAGGTTAATATTTAATATGGTATTAGGGCATATTAAGAGGGATAATTGAGACCTAATATAATAAAGCAGAGCATGACTGCTTTACTCATAGGGGTTAGGTCCCAGGCATGAGGTTCCTGTATAGGGGAGGGCCTCAAAATCCATTCTTAATCCATGCCAGGATGTCCCTTTACCTCTTTTCAGGGGTATTTTCCCGTTTTTAACCCCTTCGCTCCTTTTTTTAGCATTGCCACTTTTTTGCCACATTTTGACAAATTTCTACGATTTTTTATATTTTTCAAATATTGGCTTTTTGTGTTAGAATGGGAAATAAATTAGCGCATCTAATTAGTAGAGCTGTCCGAGACTCTTGGTCTTGGAACCAAGACTTTTTTTGGTTTTTTTCGGTCTTGGTCTTGGGGTGTTTGTCTTGGTCTTGTCTTGGTTTTATTTTTTGGTCTTGGTTTTTTGGCCTTTTTGGACAAAGTGCTTGGCCATCCAAATCCTCAAAATTTTCGCCTGCTGCGCAGAAAATGGAAGAAATCTGGCTTCTTGAGCTCCAAATTCAAAAAATTTTCGCCTGCGGCGCTGAAAAAGTGAATTTTTTTGGCCTCGGGATTCCAAAATTCTCAAAATTTTTGCCTGCGGCGCAGGAAAAGGAAGATTTTTGGCTTCTTGGCCTTCATAATTCCCAAAAATGTCGCCTGCGGCGCTGGAAAGGAAGAATTCTAGCTTCTTGTCCTTCCAAAATTTTCAAAATGGGATGAGAAAATTTTTGGCTTAAAATTCCTCCAAAATTGTAAAAATTTTCGCCAGCGGCGCGAAAAGATAGGGATAAAATAGAGGATAGATATCAGCAGCCACCATCACTCAATCACCCAGGCCCCCCAACTTCATAATATTCCTTTTGATCCCTCTTAATCCACTTAACTTTCCCTTTAAACCTCAATATCCTCCGTAATCCAAGGGCGTAGCCAGAGGGTCGATTTTGAAGAGGGCTAACGTTGGGTGTCGCCAAAATTTTAGCTTAACCCTTTGATATCATTAATATCCCCTTAATCCACCCAAATCCTCTGAAATAATATATCTCATTGATTTTCTACCTGGATAAATTCTCCAAAATTCTTTGAATTTCGCGTAGATTTTTCGAAATTATAAGTGATTGTACTGAAGTTGACTGTGATCGTGTCAAAATAACAAAAAATAAAGCAAAAATTTGACCTATGGGACCTAAAAATTGTCTCGAGTCTTGTATTGTTTTTGGTCTTGAGTCTTGGAGTTTGTCTTGGGTCTTGAGTCTTGGAAAAATTTCGGTCTCGGACAGCTCTACTAATTAGCGCCGCAGGTGGAAATTTTTGAGAATTTTTCAAGGCTAAGAAATTCTCGAACTGGTCCTGTCTATAATTAAACCATTAAAATATTGAACAATATAAACAAATACCTTTTCACACCTATACATAGATAAATTTCTGTCCAGACGTCTAAATGGAAACATAGCAGGAGAAGCCACTTTACAAACATTTGATCCATCCTCCAGTTTACAATGAGACTTGTGGAATAACTAAAATTATTGTGAATTTTAAAATAACCCCGAGAGGGAAGGAGAAGAAAAAGAGGAAAAAATTCATCAAAATAATGAAAAATCTGAAAAAGCATTGAATAAAAAATTCTTGGCAAATTTTGAAAATAAATGTAAAAAAAGGAGGGCCTCCTTTCCTAAAAACTCAAAGAAATGAGGAATTCGAAAAGAAAATTTAATCAAAAAATATATATATGTAAAATGGGTACACCCCGATGTACCGCGAGCCGAATTTACCGCCGAGCTATAACTTTGTTCAGAATTGTCGAATCCGTGGCGCCCTGATATGGTTCGATTCAGCTGGTCGAGACGCATCGAACCATACTAGGGCGCCACGGATTCGACAATTTTGAACAAAGTTATAGCTCGGCGGTATATTGGGCTCACGGTACACTCCTGCTCCCATGTAAAATGTATCATACAAAGTGAATGTTTCGCTCAGTCTTCAAAATATCAAAATGTTTATTAAATCCATTCTTTTGAAAAATCTAAAATTTAAAATTAATAGTGAGAAAACAAAAAATTTGAGAAAAATAATCTCGCAATACCTCTAGAGCAGCATCGGCAAAGATTCTATCATTTTGAGAATTTCCAAAGATCCGCTTACTAACAATAAGTGAAGCATCATAATCAAATGCCTGAGCAGCTCTATGAGTAAGCTTACGCGAATGCTCCAAGTTAAATGCCAAATCATCAAGGGAAAAGGAAAGAGATTGAAGCTGTTGTGAGAAAGAACTCTGAATTATTTCAAGTTAAAATTAAATGCCGTATTTACTCGATTAATTCCTCTCTCTCTCGAATAATTCCCCCTGCTACGGATGAGTTAGGAAATAATTCCCCTCCCCCAAATACCCTACTACAGGTTCAATTTAAAACTCGAATAATTCCCCTTCCTTGAATAATTCCCCATGCTGATGGGTTGAAAAAATTCCCCAGGGGAATTAATCGAGTAGGTATGTAGAGTATTTTACAATTAGGCACGTGAAAGGAATTCAGATGAACTTGTCTTCTCGAGTAGGGTTTGGGGTCCGGTCCGAAAGATCGAGTCGAGCATCGAATTTTGGCCCGAAAAAGACTCGGACGGGCCGGCCCGAAAAAATGAGACCCGAAAAAAATGACTCGAACTCCAAACATATTCACGAGTAAACAAAGTTAGAACATGAAAATGTGAACAAGCCTCACTAAAATACGTAAAAATTACATTGGGATCAGTCTTAGCCTTCCCTTCGATTGAACAATTTTTAGTTTCATCCAAAGCTCTAGAAGCAAGTCCAATTGCAAATGCAGATTTAGCTGGTCCAATTTTGTCAAATGTCATCCTTGCGATTTTCATTCCTTCGCCAAGATTTCCAATAATATTTGTCGAGGGAACAACAACATCCCGAAAAGTAATTCTTTGAGCATTAATACAGCGTTGATCCATTCTCTATGAACAAAAAATATCGAAAAATCCAAAAAAATTATAAAAAAAACCTTTTTTCCACGAGACAGACCTTTGGAATTTCCATCAACAACAAAAGCGGTAAATGATTCTTCGATTGGAGCATTAAGATTAAGCTCAGTACGTGCTAAAACAATGAACATAGAAGCAACTCCACCAGTAACAACCCAAAATTCTGAGCCTTTAATCTTTAAAAAATTTTAGAAGGGAAAGGATACTAAAAAACTGACCACCCATTCACCACCTTTCTTGACTGCCTCTGTTCGAGTCTCCCATTCATCATCTTCCATTACTGTCTTTGTTTTAAGCCGTGAAACATTTTGGCCAACATCATATTCTGACAGACAATATGACTAGAAAGAAAGAACTTTTTTAGGCTCTATCTTAGGACATGCGTCTATGAACTTTTATGCGTCCCATGAAAGTATATGCGTCCCATCAACAAAAAATTGGATTTTTCTTGGTGTTGAAAGGTAGGGGTATGGGTCCAAAACATTTTTTCATGTTCGGGATCTATGTCTACTGGGTCTGGAACCGGTCCTTACCCTATCCCTCGAAATTTCTGACAGTTATAGCCAATTTTTAAAAATTTCAGAAAACGATTTTAACTTTCAGAAATTTCGAGGTATAGGGTAAGGAACGGTCCCAGACCCAGTGGGCGTAGATCCCGAACATGAAGAAATGCTTTGAAACCATACCTCAACTTTGCAAAACCAAGAAAAATCCAATTTTTTGTTGATGGGACGCATATACTTTCATGGGACGCATGTCCTAAGATAGAGCCATTTTTTAACTGGTACTTTTCCGTTATGACGTAACCCCCTAAATTAATGTTCAAAATGTCATATATAGGTTAGAAAAAGGTGCTGAATCGAACGGTCACTCTTTTTTCACGGAGATGTCTGTGGACCGAGATATAGGGCTCGAAATGGTCAAAAACCATAGGAGGGAGTAAGATAAATTTTGGGGTGAAAAATTGCATTTTTTGAATGATAGCTCATTTGAAAGAGCTCCTCGAGCTGAGTCAGACGACACCAAAATCAGCTCGGAATCTTGATTTTGAGACGAGATTAACAAGCTCAAAATGGTCAACGTAAACCTATGTGGCGCAGGCGAGGCGCACTCCCCCATATGGTTTTTGACCATTTCGAGCCCTATATCTCGGTCCACAGGCATCTTCGTGAAAAAAGAGTGGTACCGTTCGACTCAGCACCTTTTTCTACCCTATATGACATTTTGAACATTAATTTAGGGGGTTACGTCATAACGGAAAAGTACCTTTTAACTTTTAAAAAATTTTAAAAAACCGCTAAAACGGGCTCTTCAATCAGCCTCCTCAAAAATTTCTTTTTAATCTCATCACTTCCAGCATTAATTATTGGAATCGTAGCGAGATCGTTTCCTAATATAGCAAATCCCATACTAGTGCATTCATAACCAATAGCTTCGCTGATAAGGGCATGGCTTAATACATCCAGTCCCTGTCCGCCTAAAAATTCAATTGGTTTTGTTCTGTTTTTCATTCTCCGTGCAATTCGAGTCATAGTATTTATTAGTTAAAAGAGGTATCCCGCAAAACCCACGCGGATTTTGAGGGAAATCCGCGTGGGTTTTTAAAAGTTACTCCCGCATGCGGGATCCGCAAATACGATTTTGCCGGTCACCCCACATTTATTCACAAGCTAACAATAGGAATTGCGAATAAATGGGGTACCTAAAATAAATAAATAAAAGAGCGAGTCCATTCGCTGAAAAAAATCTAAAAAAAGGAGCGTCAACACTCCTTATCTGTCCTAGATTCCAATATTTGTCTGTTAAATAAAAAAATAGAAACCGTATTCTTTGGGAATCAGTGAGTTCATCAATCCACTCGATTGTGCCTTTTTTATCATATCCACTGGAAATTCCTTCGTTCTATCATAAAGCGATACACTTTGCAGAACTTCTTTGGCCAATTTTGATGCATTTTTCTTGATTTCTTGTTGTCTAAACAGAAAATATAAATCCAAGTAATTTGACTTTAAATTTACTTTTGTGAAAGAGCAAAGCTTATTGGCCGTCTTGACGAATACAACGGCAAATTAATTAGCAAACCAGGAGTCAATTTTTTTGAAAAAATCATTGGAAGAAATAAATTAGGCCTGTTAAAATGATTAATAAGAAAACAAGATGGGTACTTTTCAGTTTTGCCACACCCCTCCCATATATTCGCAGGATATTATTTCTATTTTTCCTTAATTTTTTCAGAAAAGTCAGTCTTCTTTCTTCCTCGATTTCACTCAATTTTCTCTGTGGCATGTTAAAAGAGAGACATTAACAAAGAAATGATTAATTTTTCTTTCCAATGTGAAGTTAAGGAAGGAAGAAGACTGACCTTTCTGTAAGAATTAAGGAGAAATAGAAATAATATCCTGCGAATATATGGGGTGTGGCAAAACCGAAAAGTACCTTAAGAGGATATAAACACACCAACAAAATTACTAGGTTCGATCACACCGGATTAGGGTAATAGTTCGGATGGTATACCCCATCCTTTTTCCTTCCTCAAAATATAAAAAAATGGTCAGTCTGTTATCAGATTATAGAACCCGTCGAGCTGTGTCGAATGACACCAAAATCAACGTAATTGAAGAAGATTTGACAAAGTTATGACATAAAGTAATCCTTTTACGTTGGGGAGCGCTTGTGCAAAACCCTTTGCCTTGCGCAGGGTTTCTGTCTGTATCTCGGCCCAAAGTTAAGACCGGGGGTTGATTTTGGTGTCATTCGACACAGCTCGACGGGTTCTATAATCTGATAACAGACTGACCATTTTTATTACTTTTAGGCAGGAAAAATGAGTGGGGTATACCATCCGAACTATTACCCGGATTAGTTTCCGGTAACGAAAAAAATTATCTTGCCGGACACTTCTAAAATAATTTTGGACTAGCCCCGAGTATTCGCAAGCCAAATAATCGCAGATTATTGGCGAAATGTTTAAAATATTTAAAAATGACATTTTGTCCCAAACTTCCAAATTGCCTAATTTTCTTTCTCTGTTGGCCAAAGAACAACATTAAATGTTTAGGAATTCCGCGTTTTACTTTTCTTTATTTTTTGTTTCTTGTTTATATGTTCATCATTTTGTGATGATACACAATTTATATTTTTTATTATTATTCAACATTTATAGTTTCATATTTTTTTTATTCTCTCTCGATTTTCGTTTTTAATAATTTCAAGAATTTCTTTAAAATACAGTCAATCTCACTATAAGATACTCCTTTTGGGGCTGAAAAATTCGTCCCTTGTAACGTGGGGTAGCTTAACTTGGAAGGAATCGCTTAGACAGCCTTCCCCACTTGCCAACCAAATTTTAAAGAATGTCTCTTAAATAGAGGGTTTTCCTTAAATTGAGGTGTTCTAACGAAGCGTTGATCTTATATTTGTTTCTTGTTTATATGTTCATCAGGGGGGCTGTCCAGGCAATATATCCCCCCCCCCCCCCCCCCCCAGTATCTTATAGGCAAATTTCGACTTGTAGCTTAAATTGAGGGTATTCGCCTTAGGAAGCTTCCCCCTCCTATTTAGTGACCAACCAAATTTAAAGAACGTCCTTTAAATAGAGGTGTCTCTAATATTGAGTGTCTCTTATAGGGAGGTTCTGACTTATTTTAAGTTGTATTTTAAATTGGGGGGGGGGGGGGGGATATTGCCTGGGCAGTTGTTCTCCTACCCAATAGTAAACTAAAAATTTAACAAGCGTCTATTAAATAGAGGGGTGGCTAATATTGGGTGTATCTTATAGAGAGGTTTCGAACTTGTATTTTGTCCATATTGTAAAGCATATAGCTATTTATTTCCTAAGGCTGTTCAATAGGCGGCGTGGTGTAATGGCTAACACATCAGTCTGGTCTACTGAAGACCCTGGTTCGCTTCCAGCCGCCAAATAGCCTTTTGCACTAGCTGAAGGAGAAAAATAGCTATAACCCAGCTGCTTTACTATAAAATTAAAAAAAAAATTTTTTTAAGAAAGAAAAAGCTAAAATGTACAGCAAATACGGCGATTTTCACACAATAGATTGGCCTCGAGATTTGGCTAGAGACCGTTTACGACACAAATGTATTCGTGCTTATCGAAGAAAAGACTTTCCTTTTGGTTCAATTTTAACAATTTGGGATGCTGGGAGTGGGTGGATTTGTGTTTTGTTGGTTGGAATGGCTGCTGGGGCAATTGCTGGGGTTATTGATATTGGGGCTAGATGGATGAGTGATTTGAAGGATGGAATTTGTGCAGACAGATTTTGGTTGGATAGAGAACATTGCTGTTGGGCTGCGAATGATAGCGCTTTCAAGGTTTTTCTTTTTTAAAAATTTTTTATGAAAAATTGGGAAAAAAATTTTTTTGGGGAATTTCGACTTTTGCTTGCCCCCATTTTTTTATTTTACTTCAAAGTTGGTGACCCGGTTTATTTTCGACTTTATCGGCTCGGTTGGGGAATCTTAGTTAAAGATGTGAGTCGCTACATTCTAAAAATTAATCAGTCGCCAATATTCTTAACTTTGTCCTTTTGAAAATGAAAAAAATGATTTTTGGGTGGAATTTTGGACTTTCGTTAGCCCCCATTTTTTAATTTTCCTCTAAATTTGTTGGTGATTATTTTCAACTTTTTCGGGTCGGATGGGGAATTTTGAGGAGTTGTACCGCTACATTGTTCTAATTAACCAGTCACCAACATCATTAAAAAATGAAAAAAGATGAAAATGTAGGCTTTAAAATTCTTAAAGAATTTTTTTCTCGTCATTTGTGGTGTTAACACTCTTTTAGAAGAGAGCCAATTTTTTTGCTTTTTTTAAAGAATAAAAATAAATTTAATTTTTAATTAAAGTCCAACCCTTTTTTAAATTTTTAAAAAAATATTTTTTGAATTAATTAATCATTGATTCCATTCAATTTTCATTTTTTTATTTTTCACTTTTATTCTTTTAATTATTTTTGCCCTTTAAAAGAAGAAAAGGAAGCGATTTTGCTGTCTTTTCTTTAACTTTTAGTTTTATTAAAATTTAAAAGGGTTGCAAAGTTTGGGATTTGTCTAATAAATTTTTCTTTTGACAATTTTAAGAGGAAAAAATTTTTTTAAGAAAAATTTTAAAAATTAAAAAAAAATTTTTTTAATTTTTAAAGGACAACGACTGTCTCAATTGGCGTTCCTGGCCTGAAGTTTTCCTTTCTAGTGATCGTGGACATCGTGACTGGCTTTACCATTCGCTCGATTTTATTTTCTTTGTCTCATGGGCAGGTTTGGATTTAAAAAATTTTTTTAATTTTAAATTTAAAAAAATTGGACATTTCGTCCCAAAACAGAAAATTGACTATTTTGCTACATTTTTTATTTTTTAGTTGCCCTCGCTGGATTGGCTGTAACTTTGGTTAAAACATTTGCCCCATATGCTTGTGGCTCTGGTATACCAGAAATTAAATGTATACTTTCTGGTTTTATAATACGTGGCTATTTGGGCAAATGGACGTTTATAATTAAATCTGTTGGGTTAATTTTGGCTTCTGCTTCAGGTTTTTTTTAAATTTTTTGGATTTATTTTTCTTATAAAATCTGAACCTGGAGATGCTTGGAAAGAACTTATTTTACGGATTCCTCCTACCTTCAAAAATTAAAAAATGCATTTCCTTTGGGCTTATCTTGCTGATTTTCCCCTTTATTTTCTAGCTTTAAAACATAAATTTTATGCCTTTTTTTTGACTTTACTTATAGAGAAGTAATTTCTCTTTTATAGATAGGTCTGGTTCAAATTTTAGATTCGTGGCATTTTTCGAGCTTTCTATATGGCTGTTGGGTTTTCTGACTCTTACTCCAAATTCCAACTTTACTCCAAATTCCAACTATAGGCAACAAAAAGTATTCAGAACTCAGAGCCAGGCATTTTTGATCCCCTTGTATTTTTCTGTGACTGGGAGGAGGTCCAACTTAAGGCCTAATTGTTAATGTAAGCTCTAGTCCATGTCAACAAATCAACCAGAGAGTTCAAGCCTAGACACCTTATAAAAAATTTTGTCAGTCACAAAACTCTTAAAAAAATTTTTTTCACAGGCCTAAGCCTTGGCAAAGAAGGACCAATGGTTCATTTAGCCTGTTGTATAGGCAATATATTCTCCTACCTCTTCCCAAAATATGGAAGAAATGAAGCTAAAAAACGTGAAATATTGAGTGCTTCTGCAGCTGCCGGTGTTTCTGTTGCTTTTGGTGCTCCAATTGGCGGGGTTATGTTTAGGTTTTCTAAAGGATTTTTTTGAAATTTTTTTTGGGAATTTTTTAGTCTTGAAGAAGCAAGTTATTATTTTCCTTTAAAAACTATGTGGCGCTCCTTCTTTTGTGCTCTTGTTGCTGGAGTTGTTTTGCGCTTTGTTAATCCGTTTGGAAGTGATCAGGTTTTCTATTTTTTTTATTTGTTTATGGTTCAGGGATGTCACGGTTGAGAAATTATCTGATTTCCTGTCGGGTTAGTTAGGAAGGAAAACGAGGTTCGTGCCTTAAAGTCATGGTTTCAGATATCCCCAGGCCTGGTATACATAGTTGGGTAATTCTGGGAAATGTTGAAATTTTTATTTCCTTTTTGTCCATATTGGAAATATTTTGTCTTTTTTTTTGAAAAATATTTTGATTTCTCTGTTTTTCGCTTCCAAACCGACACTAATTAAATTATATAATTTTGTCTTTAAGGGTCTCTTTCTATTTTATATTTTTACCATTCTGAATTTTTTTCAGTTTTATGTAATGTTTTGGCTTTGTTTACCTCCTTTCCTTCTCTTTCCCCCCAAAATTTTTTTCTTTTAATTTTAAAATATTTTCCAACAAAATTAAATTTTTTTTATTAGACTTCTTTATTCCACGTTGACTATTCTATGCGTTGGACATTTATGGAATTAATTCCTTTTGCAGCATTGGGTATATTTGGAGGTCTTCTTGGAAGTTTATTTATATGGTTTTTTAAACTTTTTTTATTTAAAAAATTTTTTTTCCAGGTCAAATATAAAATGGTGTGCTTATCGTAAAAATACTCAATGGTTAGGGCAAAATCCGATATATGAAGTTTTGATTGTCTCTGCAGTAACTGGAGCTTTGTCTTTTTTTAATCCGTATACACGCAAAAGTGCTAGTTCTTTGATTAAACAGGTTTTCTTTGAAAAATTTTTTTTGAAATTTCTTGAGGGTTTGAAAAATTGTTGAAAATTTTTCAGAAACCTTTTTCGATTTTTTTTCAATTTTCAGAAATTTTTAAAGATTTTTTTCTAAGTTTTGAAAATTTTAGAAATTTTTTTGAAAAAAAATTTTCTAATTTTTAAAAAAATTTGAAAATTTTTTTTTGGAAATATTTTTGAAAAATTGTTGAAATTTTTTTAGAAATTTTTCAGAAACCTTTTCGATATTTTTTTTCAATTTTTTAAGGATTTTAAAATTTTTGAGAATTTTTTTTAATTTTTTCAAAAAAAATTTTTTTCTACAGCTCTTTGATCGTTGCGGACCAGAAGATTATGGACAAAATTTGTGTGATTATAATAGAAATTTTACTTTTGGACAAGTTGTGGATAAAGTTGATGATAATTATCATACAGGAGATTTGGGGAGTGGATTACAGGTTTTTTTAATTTTATTTTTAAATATGGGGGGGGGTCTTCTAAAAATCATAAAATATTTTGTTTTACTCTACAAAATTTTTAAAATAATTTTATATCAAACTAAATTTATTTTTAATTCATTTTCCATCGATGAGTATCGAACCTTGCCTAATTTTTTGGATAAAAATTTTTTTTATCCCACTACACCACAGTTTCAAAAATTGACTAATTTTATTCAGAAATCCGGTCCTTTATTTTTAATTTTTTTCTGTTTTTGGGGTAAATTAATTTTATTTTTAATTCGTTTACTAACATTAGGTATCGAACTTTGCTCACTTTCTTTATTAAGGAAAAATTTTTTCCCACTACACCACAGGAACAACTTTGGCTAGTTTTTATTTATAAATTTTCTCCTTCATTTCTCTTTAATTTTTTGTTTAAAATTTTATTTTCATATTTAAAAAAATTTTTTTTTAATTTAATTTTTTTAAGACAGCAATATTTCAACTTGTTATGGCTTTATTTGCAAAATTACTTTTTACAATTTTTACTTTTGGTGTAAAAGTTCCTTCAGGCTTATTTGTTCCAAGTTTAGCAATGGGGGCAATTGCTGGACGTCTTTTAGGAATTAAAGTAGAAGGGTTAACTTATGCTTTACAACAACAATACCCAAAAAGTGATTTGTGGATGTGTAGAATTGGAAGGGATTGTGTTATGCCTGGTTTGTATGCAATGGTGGGGGCTGCTGCTGTTCTGGGAGGAGTTACTAGGTTTTTTTTTGAAATATTTTTTGAATAGTCTAACTATTTGGGTCTGGTCTAATAATAGTTTTAACAATATCCGGTGATTTTTGAGAAGGGATTGGGGCAGAGAAACCTTGAGCGGGCCAGTCCAACAGGGAAATCGCTGGTTGAGAAGAAGCCGGATTGGGTTTTTTAAAAAAAAATTTCGGATTGGATTTCGGTGAACCTATGACAACTCTGGTCTATAACCTATAGCTAAACGTTAAAATGGCGTATCAAGGCGCCTTAAGTATCATTTGGCACTGTTTGACTTCTGCATTGAACCATGTCAAATTGTCTTATTTTTAAGAAGTTGTCCTATTTAAGTTATGGGCTCTGTAATAGCCGGCTTATTGATAGTTATAGATCGAGGAAGGGGATGTATGGGAGTCTTGTAATTTCTTTTAAAAATCTATTAAGTAAATTTAATTAAGAATGACAGTCTCATTGGTTGTTATAATGTTTGAATTGACTGGTAGTCTAGAATTTATTGTACCAACAATGGCAGCAGTAATGTTTGCAAAATGGGTTGGAGATGCTATTTATAAAACGGTTTTTAATTTTTTTAAATTTTATTTGAATTTTTGAAGTTCTCACAAGCTCTCCTTTATTTATAAATTATTTTTAATTTTTACCAGCTCTCCCATACATTTAAAAAATTAATTGAAAAATATTTAAAAAAATTTTTGGAAGCCCCTTGAAATTTTTTTTAATTTTTTGAATTTTTTCCTACCTTCGATATTAACAAAAAAATTTCCTAAATCCTTCCAAATCTCTCATATTAGAAAAAAACATAATTCAATTTAAAGGGAATATATGATGCTCATATAGAATTGAATGGATATCCATTTCTTGACAATAAAGGAGAATATCCATATTCAACAGTTGCCGCCCAAGTAATGCGTCCAAGTAATGAAATGCGTGTTATTGAACAAAATGGAATGTCTGTTGGAGAATTAGAAACTGTTTTGAGGGAATCTAATTGTAATGGTTTTCCTGTAGTTAATGATGTTAATCAAATGTTAGTTGTTGGATTTTGTACAAGGTTTGTTGTTGTTTTGGGGGGAAATTATAAAAAAATTTTTATTTTATTTTTTAAAACCCTAAATTTGGACCTTTTGGGTAAAAAAACCTAAAATTAAACCCTTTGGATCTGTAAAATATTGTACTTTATAAATAGGTTACTCATGTAGCCAGGAAATATTTTTTTCCTGGAGAAAAAGAGATTCCGGGAGAGAAATAGGGGTAATTATACCCATTTATCCCTGGCTAAAGGCTTGAATGAGACGTACCTTAATTATCTAAAGATGAAGTTCGAGAGTTTGGATACTTAATAGTTCGGGTAAACTTATGCACAAGCCTCCTGAATAAGGGCTTGTGCATGATTGGACGAATCCTGGGTATTCTCAAAATATCCGGATCCTCGAACACTATAACTTTCTTAAACCTCATTTTAAAAGAAAGCGACCTTCTTGGCAATATATGTGATGGTGTTCTATCGAATGGGACCAAAAGACAAAATTTTATGTGACAGTAAGTGGTCCCCCCTATCACCCCCTGAATTAATTTTAATTCTCCAAAATTTTAATTTTTTTAAAAATATTTTTAAAAAAAATTTAGAATGGATCTTGGTCAAGTATTAAAAAATGCACGTAAAACCATGCCATATATAACAACAAATTCTCCTGTATATTTTACAACAACAACAACAAATTGTGATAATATAAATAATATAAATAGTAATAGAAATATAAATTCTCAACAACAACAACCAGAAACATTTGATAATATTATTGTTGTTGATGAACAAAGAAGAAGAAGAAGGAGAGAAAACAATGAGAGAGTAGAAGAAGAAAATTCTGAAATATCAGAACAATTACCGGGGTCTCCAGCACCGTTGTATATAAATCATATTATGGATGTGGTAAGAAAATAAATAAAATCAGAATTAAATTCGAACATTAAAAGAAAACCAGAATTAAATTTGAACATTAAAGAGAATCAGAATTTACCTAAAACAGAATAATTGTTGCTTCCGTTTTGATAAAATCAGAATTAAATTTAAACATTAAAAGAAAATCAGAATTTTAAATGTTAAAAGCACAACAAGCCCGACACAAAACCAGAATTAATTTCAAACATTAAACAAAAATCAAAATTTTATAAAAACAAAAATTAAAAACAAATAAACAGCCTAACACAAAAACCAGAACTAAATTTGAACATTTTAAAAATTAGAACCTACAAAAAACATAAAATCAGAATCTACTAAAATACATGAACGTTTATTTTTCTTTTTGATAAAATCAGAATTAAATTCGAACATTAAAATCAGAATTAATTGCAAACATTAAAGAAAATCAGAATTTTAAAATTAAAAACAAATAACCAGCCTAACCCAATCAGAATTAAATTTAAACATTTTAAAAACCAGAATTAAACTCAAACATCAAAGAAATATATTTTTATAGGCCCCTATGACTGTTGCTGATCAAACACCAATGGAAACAGTAATTGATATGTTTAGAAAATTGGGATTACGTGGAACTGTAAGTTTATAAAATTTCTATATCAAAAAATAATTTTTTAAATTTTTTAGCTTGTAACAAATAATGGAAGGTTATTGGGTATAATAACAAAAAAAGATATTTTGACGTTTATGAAAGAAGGGGAACATAATTAATTATTATTATTAGAGGTTGGACTGAAAGGGCTTAAAAATTCTTTTAAATCTTAAAATTTCTTAAAAATCTTCACGAAGATCTCGATCATGATAATCGAGATTTTTTGACAGCTCTCGTCTCAGTCCAGTCTCTATTTATTATTACTGATGCCTGTTTGGGGGATTTTTCTTTGTGATTGCCAAAAAAGTTATTGATTAGGGCATCACTAATAAAAGTAATAATAATATTTTGATCCTATGAACAGTTTTTGAAGATGCATGTAAAAAATGTGTGTTTGAAAAAGCATTGAACGTAAATGACATTCTTTGACTTTTTTTCAAAAACTCCTCTTGGATGTTTTCTCATGGACTGTTCATTTTTTCAAAAATAAAAATTTATTTTTTTAATATTGTCCAAAGAAAGAAAAAAAGCTCATTCATTAATTTCAAACTCTGTCTCCCTCTCTCCTCTAAAGGTTGGCGGATAGTTTGAAATCTTCGGATATCCGGCATCCGAACCGAAAATTTCCGGATATCCCAGCCTTTTTTCAGAGCCGGATATCCGCCAACCTTACTCTCCTCTTTAAATAAAAAAATAAATATAAATTTATATTACTCTATATTATTTCTTCTACTTCAAAACACCCTCCTCAGTTTTAGAAAAAAATTTATGGCCATCTTTTCATATAAAATAAATTTTTAATCAAAATTTATATATTCTTTAAAACAATTACCGTATTGTCTCTAATACAAGCCCTGGGCTTTTATTTTTCGATACCCCTCATTGGGTGGGCTGGCATGGACTTCTATTGGGGCATGGGCTTCTAGTGAAGATGGGATTCTATTAGAGACAATAGGATATGTATATTTTTCTCTTAATTGTTTAACTTTTTAAGAAGCAAATTTTTATATTTCCCCTCAGTTTTTTCTGTTGTTGTGATTGCTACGGCCAGTTTTTTTACATACATTTGTACATTTATTGTGACTTTTGAAAAGGTTAAAGAAAATATTGAGATTAAAATAAAAGTTTTTTATGAGAAATTTTATTAAGCTTCTCAATAGAATGAAGAAGTTTTCTTCAAAAATAGGGTTACGGTATTTTCGTTTCGAAAAAAAAGTTTTGTATAAAGACAACTTTAAAATATGTACTATAAAAGCCCTTTTATTTTCTTCTTTCTACACCAGCCGACAAATTTCTTCTTCAAAACAAATTCTTCAAACGACACTTTCTCTACAAACAACAAAGCATCAAGGCGTCATGCTCTTCTGGTTCGACGACGGATCTGGAACGAAAAAGGCGCCATCAACAACTCCACGTTCGGCTACCACCATCTTGCCGATGTTCTTTGCTTCGACTCTCTTCGTTTTTGTGCTGGTTGGACAGGTCAACAGTGAGAGTGGGGATGATCGTATTGGATTCTTCAAGCACACTCTGAAGGATGGTCATGTCACGCTCGCTGATTATTCCGAGGCTGTCGGAGCAGGAGACGACTCCCTTCTTGTCAAATACACAAATCGTTCTGAGTCCTGTGATGTTAAAATCAATGAAGGAAGCATGTAAGTTTCGACATGCTTTTTGCATCTTTGAAACAATTTTCATTCTTTTCAGTGTGCTCTACTACAAGAGGGAAAACGGAAAGAACATAAAGAACAACGGATGCGCTGTGGACCTGTTCACCAGTCATTCGAACAAGATCAAGTTCAAGGCTGGAGTGAAAAACAAAACTGCAGACTGCCTAAAAAAGTGTTCAAGTGCAACAAATACTTTTGATGGTGCTAGTGATAATACGTTAGTTCATGCATAGCTTGAATATTTTAATTCTTTTTAGTCTTCCCTTCGCCTACAGCTACAGTACAACTAAGGAAAACATCACGCAATTCAAGAAACGTCGGCTCAATGGGACTTGCAGAAGGCTCGATAGATGCGGTGGAGATGAACGACTTTGCATGCCTTGGACTTCTCTCGAGGTTGCTTGGAACAAATGCTTCATTGACGACGACGACGACAGCTATTATATTTTCGCTCACACCCATCCAAGTAAGACAAAATAAACCTTTTAATTGTCTTGATTATTTAAATTTTAGTTGGCGAAAAAATGACAAGATGGAGTCAAAAAGTTAATGAATTTGAGCTGACGATAACAGAACAAGGCGGGTTCTATATGGATAAATTGGAAAAGGAAGGTTATAATCCAGACGATGATCCAAAAACCCATCCATACTGCGTTCCTCAAGGAAAAGGCATTGCCCGACCTTTGACTTGGAAAATCAATGGGACGAGTCCAGCTCCAGGATTTGATCATCTGCTTGTCTTTTACATGCTTCCACAGAACGCATCTCGAAAGCACATCAAAGGCGAAATCACGACGGAAAAACCTGATGGTCCAAATTGTACAGAACTCTTCATTGAATTCGTAAGGAATTTGAACTCTTGTAAAATTCTTTCAAAAATTTCCTTTTTATTCAGGACAAGGACCACTACAAACTTTTGTCTGTCGGCGATCCAACAACGACCACTACCACAACGACAACAACACAACCGCCAACTACCACCACTAAGACCACTTCAACGACCTCCACATCAACTACGGCTGCTGTAACGACGACGGAAACGACTACGACAACAACGGAAAAACCTATATATCGGAGCAATGACTTTTGGTTTGCTGTTGCACGTGGTGGATTTCCTGCCGGCATAATGTTTTCCTGCTTTTGTTTAATAATGGTTTTCTGCTGTGAAAAGAGGACCACTCGATTCTGCGGCATAACTTGTCTAATGCTTCATGCAATAAACATCACCATCTTCGCATTAATTGCACTCGGAGTCTTCTTCGTCTACACTAAAGTGAATGATCCAAGTCCGCTCATCGTCCTCATCCTCATTCCAAGTCTTACCTGCTGCTTTATAGTCTCAACATGTTGCCTCGTTCACAAGTACTACAAATACGAAGAAGGGAAGCTAGAAGACCAGAAAAGAAGACAGAGGGAGAAGGAAAAAAAGGAAGAGATGGAGGCGCGAAAAAAAGAACAGGCTTACAAGAAGGAGATGGAGGCTGTCATCGACGACTACCTTGAATCCACCAAGGACTATGAAGTAAGGAATATTTTTTATTAAATAAAAATAATTTTTTTGCTTTTAGGACATCAATCCGGAAGTGATCAAACATGCGAAGAAAGCACAAAAGTTGGGGCCGCGTCAAATGCCTCTTCCACCTTACTGTTCAGTTGGCCTGAGCACGGACTCTGATCGTCATCCGGTAAAACCCTTTAATTTTTTCAAAAAAAAATTTTAATTTATATTTTTAGGCTGATCGGGAGAAGGACACGACTACAGCGAATTCACTGATGGGAGCCACGGAGACTTCAAAGATGGAGGAGGGCAAATCGAAGATGGAGGCCGCGGAACATTCGAAGATGGGCGGGAAATCGGAGGAGGCCAAGGTGGAGGAGAAGTCGAAGATGGGGGAGAAGTCGAAAGTGGCGACCACTGCGAATTCGATGATGGAGACCAACTCGAAAATGGAGGAGGGGGACAAGTCGAAGAGCAGCCAGCAGGAATGATGAGAGGACAATAAAAGAAGCTTCAAGTGTTCCAGAGAAGAAAAAAAAGATGTGTGATTGTTGAAGAGAAAGTTCAAAATAATAATTGTTGTTGTTGTTGTTTTCCCTCAAAAATATATTTGTACCTATTTTCCTATATCGCCTCTATACCTATATAATTATTGTTGTATAGTATGTTTTGTTGTATTGTATTTGTTTCCCCCTAAAACCTATATTTGTAGCATTCAATATGTGTTTGTTTGTATCGTTGTGATTGTAAAATAAATTGTTGTGATTGTTAAAAGACTTGAGTAATACAAACATTAAGTCAGAATATTCCACAAGCAAACAGTTAAAAACAAATCAGAATTTAATAAAAACATTAAATGAGCATAAGAAACAAATAAACGGAAGAACAAACATTAACAAAAATCAGAATATTCCAAAAACATTAAGTCAGAACAACTAAAAATAAACAAAACATTTGAAAACAAATCAGAATATAATAAAAACATTGAGCATCAGAAAAACACCACCAAAATCAGAATTAATTTAAACCAAATAAAACATCAAATCAGAATAACACGAAATCAGAACACTCTTATAACAACAAAACATTCAGCAACATAATAACCAGAAGTTAATCAAAACATCAACATAACTGACAAAAACATACCAAATAAAAATCAGAACAACTTTAAAACACCTAAAAACAAATCAGAATTTAATTAAAACATTAAATATATTTAAACTTTAAAATAAAATTTAAACGTCATTAATAAACATTTTTAATAAAATAAAAAGCGAAAAATATAAAACTAGGTGAAAAAAAAAACAAATCAAAACTAACAAAAATAAAATTTAAAATCAAAAAAAAATGTTTTTGAATGTTTATGTCGACAAGATTTTTTTATGTTTACAATTTTTGTGTAGATAATAATTGTGTATAGTCGGACCTCATTTAGAAAAAATTATAATTTTTTACCCCGTAATGAGAGGTGTCTAATAAAAATTCAGGCCAGTGAGATTTTTTTCCTCTGCCCAGTGGGATTGAATGTCTATTAAAAATTGAGAGAAGGGTATACACTGCGGTGCATATGATTATGCACACTTGTTTTTTGTTCATAAGTTTATGCACACATTCAAAAAATACGTTCTATATAGCAATCGAAAGCTCTATTTGTATCTCAGTTGACATGTTTCTGCATTTTCCATGAAAATGAAAATTGGCCGAGATAATCCGGATCTACCGGATATACCAAATCCCATATCCTCGGAAAAATTTTTCGGAAAAAATTTAACAAGCCCATTTGATAAAGCATATTTTTGTGAGTATTTATCACAAAACCGCTTAGAAATATCTTTTTTCGGTCCAGAGATATGATTTTTTGAAAATCGAAAAAACGCGATTTTTTGACGAAAAACGGCAAAAATATGGTGTTTTTTCGATTTTCAAAAATTCATAACTCGGTCAAATCTCGACCGATTTGGATGAATTTTTTGTATTGTATGTAGAATCTGGAGAAGAATCACATATATTTTTTACAGACTTCAAAAAAATTTTTCCGAAAAGTTGAAAATGTAGTACCTGTTAGACCGGTCGAAAATTTTTCGAAAATATCAGAATTTCGAAAAATGCAGAAACATGTCAATTGAGATACAAATAGAGCTTTCGATTGCTATTTAGAACTTATTTTTTGAATAAGTGTGCATAAACTTATGAACAAAAAACAAGTGTGCATAAACATATGCACCGCAGTGTATGCTCACCCAATGGCAGAGGCGGGTCGGAACAGTCAGAGGTGTCGGAAATCGGAAGAGCCGGAAATCGGAACTGGCTCAAAAGTCGGAACTCGGAAATCAAAATTTTTTTTCGGAAATCAGAAGGAAAAAAGTTGGAAATCGGAATTCCGACCCAACTCTTCCCACAAACTTTTAAAAACCCATCTAAAAAATAAAGGTAATCTAGGGGTATTGGGTGTGTATGTTTTATGATGAAGTTTCGACTGCACAATTTAGAAAAGAGAAATAAATAAAATTTTTGTTTTAAAATCAGAGCTAAATTTAGAAATTTTTTTAATTTTTAAAATTTATTTTTTCAAAAATTGTTTTTCAGCTCAAATTTTTTATTTATTAAAAATATTTTTGTGCTTATAATAATGCACTTTTTAAACAAATATATTCTTTAGAGAGAGAGAAAGCTTCTTTTTTTTCTTTTAAATAAAAAATCTTGTTTTAAACCGGGTGAAGTTCTCTTATAAGAGCGTGTGGAAGATGCAAAATACTGAAAAATTAAAAAAAAAATAATTTTTGAAGAGTTGGAAGGCTCATGGTCTTAAAGCATGGAAAATTTTACGGACTTGGACAGGCTGTACTAGAAGCTTTAAGGGAATCTCATGGACTCATACAATTTTTCTTGGAACGTCAAAAGCTTCTGAGACACCTAAATTGGACCAGGGATATGTCCAAATTGAAAAAAGAGAGTTCGGATATCGGGTCAAAAAATTTAGATTTCAAGTTTCCATGTAACCCTGGCCATTTCTAAGCTAATCTCAAGTAAAAAAATCCTAAAAAAATTTTTTTTGAAAAGAAAAATTTCTCACCGAGCAACCAACATTCCTGGAGTTAAATTCCCAATACCCAAAGGCCCACCACCCCCACCACTTCCACTTGCATCACTTTCATAATGATCAACAATTTTAATCCAAGGAGAATATTTTTGTGGAATACAGCCATGAGCCCCAGAACGTGAAATTAATAAATTGAATTTTTTGACGTCATTATTGGAATTTGTTGATGGATTTGAACGTCCATAACGAATTAACATTTGTTTGTCCAATTCTTTAAATATAACTTGTGTAACATTTGGACAGTAGGAAACATCAAGTGTTTTCAATTCCTTTAAAAAAATTTTAAAAATCAAAAAAAAATTTTTTTGTTCACCTTGCAGTTTCTAATAACCATAATAACAGACATGTTGCTTATGTTAATGCATTTACCTAGTCCAAGAATCTTAAAGAAGAAAAAAATTAAAATCAGAATTTAATAAAAACAAATAAAAACACAAAAAAATAAACATCCCTACATAAACCAGAATTTTTTAAAAACATACACAAAATCAGAATATTAAAAAAACAAACCAAACAAAAATCAGAATTTAAGAAAAACATAAAATTAAAACAAAAATCAGAATTAAATAAAATCAGAACTTAATAAAAACAAATAAAAACACAGATAAACAGAATATTTAAACAAACCAGAATATTGGAAAACAAATAAAACAAAACACTCCAAACAAAATCAGAATTTAATAAAAACAAATAAACACCAAACAAAAATCAGAATTTAAAAACAACATAAAAATCAGAATTTTTAATAAAAACACAAAACTTTCAAAAAACAAAACAAATAACCGACAAAAACCAGAATTTAAAACGAACAAAATAAAAACCAGAAAACACCCCAAACAAAAATCAGAATTCGAAAAAAACATGTTTTCCCTTACCTTCAACTTTCCCTGATTAGCAATTTCAATGAGAGTTTCATCAGTCAAAGCTCTATGTCCAGTTAAGCGTAATTCATTAAGCGAACTTAATGCTGCCAAATGGCGTAAACCCGTATCAGTAACCGCACGATTAGACATTGACAAATTTAAAAGTTGCAAAGCACGACAGCCTTGGCCTAAAAAGAAAAATTTTTTCCCTTCTAAAAAAATTTCAAAAAAAAACCAATAGCTCGAAGAACATCATTATTAATTAACAAATTGTCACTAACATGCATTTCGCGTAAATGGGTAAGATTGCTTAACGCAGTTAAATTAGGTTGACCTTCATAAAATTCTGAAAAACAAAAATTTTTTTAAATAAAAAAATCAACGGGATTTTAAAAGTTTTTTCCCATTCTGAAAATCTTACTCCATTTTATTAAAACAAAAATGTCAATTGAGATCATTTTTCGGATCGCAAAAATGAATAGAAATGAAAGAAATAGGGTAAGAGCTTCCTTAGGAGAAAAATAAAAGATGGGGTTGGGGTTCGAATCGGAAAGATTTATTGGAGGTTTAGGGTACCCCCTGTGACATCTCTCTGATTTTAAACCCAAAAAGAAAGATTGGGGAAAAGAAAATAAAAAATTTTTAATTTAAAAAAATTAAAAAAAAAATTAGACCAGTTCCATAACATTCAGAAAAATGAAGCACAGTTAAGCTTAAAAGAAAAAATTTTTAAAAATAAAAAAAAAGTCAAACTTTTTTAAAGCCATAAAAATATTATTCATTTGTTGTGTTTGTATAGTATCTACTTGATCCATAATTAAAGTTTCTAAATTTGTACAATTTGCTTGAATTCCACTAACTGCAGCAGATTTTAAACGAAAACAACTGCAAAAATGAAAAAAAATAAAATTAAAAAAAAGTAAAAAGTAGGGGGTGTCAATTAGGAATTAAACTGAAGAAACGAGGATTTTTTCAATTCTGTTAAGGCTATCCAAAGATTCTTCTAAAAAAACGACAGACCTAACAGAAAGATTAATTTTACTGTTTACCAAAGCCCATGACAGGAATGGGACTGATTGAAAACAAAAAATCGAGTCGTATTTTGGATCGGAGTTTAATCAAAATTTAAACAGGTTTTCCAATTTCGGATCGAAAAAAAGAATAAGGGCCCGTCATGCTGGTACTATTAGAGGTTTAGGACACCTCGTCCCATCTCTGGCCCAACCTTCAAAAATGGAAAGACAATGGTTATGGTCCAAATAAAGGAAAACTCCAAAAAAAATGAACTCTCTATATATCTGCAAATCCTAATCCTCGTGGGTCTCCCAATAGAATGCATTTAAAAAGCAAAAAAATTAAAAAAAATATACCAAGAAATATTCAGCTTTTTAATCGTCTTTGGTAACTCTTCAAAACAATCTCCTTTAAGTATTTCATTCTCGCTAACATTTAAAGACTCCAAAGATTGGCAAGATGAAAAAAGCTTGGTAAGACCTTTCTCCATATTTGTGTGCTAAAAATTTAAAAAAATTTTTGTCCGCAAGTTTTGTCCGCAAAAATTTTTTGTCCGCAAAAAAATATTTTAATCAAAAAATTCCAAAAAAACCTTAAAACAATTCCGAAAAGATAAATGTTTAAGTTTCGGTAAATGACGTCCAATTAAAGAAAGAGAAGAATTTGTCAATTGCATATAGTCAAAATATAAAGTATGCACACTTGGAACAATTTTTAAAGATGAGCAAATTGAATAATTTAATTTTGGATCAAGACGAAAACCAACCAAATCGATAACCTTTAAATGATGACGAGCACGTTTCATAATAATTTGAATCTAAAAAAAGATAAAATGATAGAGGAAAAAAGTCCGCAAGTTTGGTCCGCACAAAATTTTTTGTCCGCAAAAGTTTTTGAGAAATTTGCGGACAGAACTTGAAAAACAATACAAAATTGTAGAAGGTTATTTAATTAAAGCTAGATGTTGACAAAAAATAAGAAGATACCCTAAAGTTATCAAAATTCTACTAAAGTACATTATGAAAATGAAGACAATTTTTGGGACATGTAAAAGAAAAGTTCCGGATTTTCGCTGATTTTTTTGAACATAAGCCTTCACCATTGTTTCCCCACTTTTTTTACTTTTAAAATAGGGTATTGTCTTGGATATCAAAACCAAAAGTGAGAAAAGGGAGAAAGATTCTCAACTACTTGTCCGCAAAAAAGTATCCGTAAAAAAGTCCGCAAATCTATAAAATGCCCAAAATTTTATTCAAAGGAATGATATAAGGCAAGAGTAAAAAATTTTTTAAAAAATTTACGTGTCGATTGGTAACCTTCATACACATTGTAACCTTTGAAGCTGGACAGTCTTGAAAAACTTGCGAATAAGATATCATTTCATAATTGTCCCAACTATAGGAAATAGCAATTTGCCTCCAATGTCTACAAATCTTTTCGATTCGAAGATGATCAATTGTATTCAAATTTGAAAAGATTTTGCCCTGAAATGTTTTTTGAAAAAATTTTTTGAAACTTTGGGGATTTTGAAGGGTCCTTCATTTTGCTGACCATTTTTAAAGGTTGGCGGCTCATGGGACCAGTATCCGGGTATCCAAAACCTATAACCTGCCGAAAATTTAATGGTAAAAGGTTATCCCGGGTCTGGATATCCTAAACCAACAATATTAGCATTTCATTGGATTGGAATAGGACCATCATGGAAGGGGCTCAAACCTGACATGAGCAGGCCCGTAGCCAGGATTTTTTTCGGGGGGGGGGGGGGGGGGCCAAGGGGGGAAAATTTTTTTGCGCCAAATTTTTGGCGCCGAAGGCGCCAAAAATTTTTATTTTCAGCGCCGCAGGCGAAAATTTTAAGAATTTTAGAAGGCCGTAGGCCAAAAAAATCCACTTTTTCGGCGCCGCAGGCGCCAAAATTTTGATTTTCAGCGCCGCAGGCGAAAATTTTTTGAATTTTGGACCTCAAGAAGCCAGATTTCTTCCATTTTTAGCGCCGCAGGCGAAAATTTTGAAAATTTCGAAGGCCGTAGGCCAAAAAAATTCACTTTTTTTGCCCCAGCCCTTCCCCAAAATTTTCCCTTTTTCCCATTTCGGGGGGGGGGGGAGGGAATTCCCCCCCTACCCCCCCCCCCCCCCCTGGCTACGGGCCTGGACATGAGCACAATCGAATGTGACTCCATCTGACTCGAATATGGGTAATTTTTATTCTTTCAGAGTGGACTAAAGATCGGCCTGGGTCTGGAACACAGCCTGGGCTTTTCTGTACCCAGAGTCCAGGCCCAGGTATTTTTAATCTTCTTGGGTTTTTACTGGACTAGAGGTCCAGGATCCGGCCCAAGTTAATAAAACAAACCCAGAACCCAGCCCAGGCTTTTCAAAAATACCGATCTCTACTGCGGACATAACAAGGCAAATCGAAAAAGCTTTAAAAAATACGGAAAGCTGACAAGAAAACGCCCATTCCCGAAATTGGGTCAGCACCAATATTGGCGGCTACAAGAACCCCCAGATTTTTAAAAATCTTAAAGCCTATTTAACAAACCAAAACATGTGAAGGAAGTTGATTGATGTGGATGTTCGAAGTATTCACACTCCAATCCTGAGAGGAAGAGTTGGATTCATCAATAACCGCCTTTGACTTTCTTGAACGTTTCGACTCGGATTTTGCTGCTTCTTTAGAATTTCGCTTGGTTCCACGTCTAGACGTTTGCATATAACGAACCATAATAAAATAATATTTTTTTTATTTTTTAAATAAAATTGTCTAAAAGATCTAAAAAAGAATTTAAAGTTTAAAGGGGTCTTTTAAACAGAAGAGGAATATTCTAGCCCAAACAACGCGGGAATAGAAGAAAAACACCCTTTTTATGGTTGTTTAAAAGACCTCTTTAAATAATTAAATAAAGTTAAATTAATCATAGAGGAAAAGGGATAGTTAAGGATTTTATATCCAGCAATGGAAAGCGTTAAACATTGGAGGTTTTGACCAAGCAGGCCTAAGCTGGATCGAGAACTTTTAATCAAGAAAGAAATAAGAGAAGGCAAAAGGAGACTAAACTCTTTTCCCCGACAGCCCTCAGGTCATTCAAATTAATCAATCAGAAGCCTAGGACTGATCCCGCCTTCAAACCTCGCAAGTGTGCCTGGACCAGACAGCTTCTGAACCATCATTTGAAAGCAAAATCGCTAGTAAATCGCCCTAAAACCTCAAAGTTTTAACCAAAATGTTCCCTAACACGTTTGAATTATGACAAAACATTAAGATGATTCACCCAAATAAAATGAAAAATAAATAAAAATCCTAACTAAACGGTTTCATAAAAATTTCCAATTTCCCCTTTTTCTCTAATGTCTCTCATCTTTTCCAACGCTATTTTATTAGATGGATAAAGAGATGACCGTTCTATGATGGCAGTTTTTGGGCCATAAATTTTTCTATTATCAATATTATTAAAAATTTATATGAATCTTTCGAAAGATCTCGAAATTCTGCATCTTTTCACAACTGGACTGATACAATATTAGCATTCTACAAAAAGTTATAAGTGAAAAACCATGTTTTAAACGGAAAAAATCAGTTTTCCTGATGTAAAATTTTTTGGAATGTTCGAATCATATCGGACCAATTATGAAAAAGATGTAGCATCTTGTTACCTTTCGAATGATATGAAAACTTTTCGAATTAGTTGATCAAAAGAAAATCGCCCTTTGCTGTTTTTCTGCGATTATGTGGAAGAATTGGGACAAAATGTCATTTTTAAATATTTTTAAACATTTCGCCAATAATTATCGATTATTTGGTCCGCGAATAGATGGGGTTTTTTAAAAGTATTATAAAAGCGATGGAAATGTTTTTTTTCTCATTCATTTCTAAGTTTGTGTTGGATTGATTTTGTACATTTAAAAGTTTGACTAAGAATTAACTAGTAGTTTTAACTGACCTAATCTGTTCATATAGGGTTTAATTTTTTTAGTATTTTGCTTGTACTCTTTGTTTTTGATTTAAGGCTTCTCTTATAAGCTTGTATTTAGTAAACAGTTATGTATTCTTTCCTAAAATATTAATTTTCAGTAAATAAACTGTTAAACAAAAAATTAAATTGTTTCTAGAAATGGTTAGAATTGTAGCAAAGAATGTTCGAAAGTTACTGTTGGCGTCTCGTGGAATCACGTCGACAATTAAACTGCCTGCTATTGTTAAGACTACGGCTATGGACGATAAGCCTAAGTTCACTAAGGTTTTTTTCTAAGGAATTTTTTTTAATCTAAAACAAAATTCAGTTATTTATCAACAATCAATGGCGAAATTCGCAGCTTGGAAGAACCTTTTCTATGTACAATCCTGTGACTCAAACAAAATTTGCTGAAGTCCAGGAGGGTGGGACAGCAGACATTGACTTGGCAGTTAAGGTTGGTTATTGCTGGCGTTTATTTAGTTTAAGGATCGTTAGTTGTGTTTGTGGTGTAGTGGTTGTGTTCTAGTATAAGAGTTTATAGGGGTCCGGGTTCGAATCCGGTTGGTGGTCAAGTTGGTTAGTTGGCTATTTTTGAGTTGTTTAAGCTCACATATGTTTGTATAGATTTAATGATAAATGTAAAAAAAATTCCTTAATTCTGAAATGAACTGAAGTTGGGAATTTTGGGGTTCTGGGTTCGATTCCTGTTGGTGTTTAATGATTTTATTTGACTGCTTTTGAGTTTTTTGAACTCTAATGCGTTCGTTCAAAATTTTCAAAAAAATCTTTTAGGCAGCCTGTGATGCTAATAAGTTTGGCTCTGAATGGCGGCGTATGGATTTTGCTGATCGCGGACATTTACTTGATAAACTGGCTTCCTTAATTGAAAGAGATGCTTTTCAACTGTTTTGTTTGCAAACAATTGACAATGGAAAGCCTTGTGAGCCTCGTTATTTAGGTTTCTTATTTTCAATTTTCTTTTTGTTTAAAGTGGGGGTCACCCCCGACCAGGGTAAATCAGTTTCACTTGAACAGGTAGCCTACCAGAGGGTTTTTCTAAATCCCTGAGTTCCCGTCTCCATGACACCCGGCGGGGTTTTGTTGTCTCCAGTTTCCGTATACCTGTCTCCGCTCCGTAGGGTTACACCATGGTTTAAAGTATTGTCCTTAGTTCGAAATTGATTTTCCATTTCTTAAATTTAGTTATTTCGATTGCCATGTATAATTATTATGCTTTTTGTGCAAATAAGAAGGCAACTTTTGGAATGGACAATTTTCACAATATGCGGAACGAGGCGGAAGGTGTTATTGGTTGGTTTTTTGATTTTAGACATTTTGAAATTTTTTTAAATCTAACTAATTCCAATTAATAGGCCACATCATCTCTCCAAAATTTCCTGTGCTTAATGAAGCAATGAAATTAGGACCGGCTTTGGTAGAGGGTAACACTTTCATCTTAAATCCTCAAGCACCTTTAACCGCTTTATATGTAGCAAATTTAATTAAAAAGGTTAATTTTCTAAATTCATTTTAAAATTTATTTTTTCTAATTGAAGGCTGGTTTTCCTTCTGGTGTTGTAAATGTGGTCCCTGGCTTCGAATCTGCGCATAAGGCACTTTCTTCCCATCCGAATGTTGATAAAGGTTTATTTTTGCTTCCATTTTTAAGTCTAATGTTTTTTAGTTGAATTATTTGGCTTTACTAAAAGTGAATTGCAAAGCGGTGAATTTTCCCAAGCAAATTTGGAAAAGTTAAATTATTTTTTAGATAATTAAAAAAATAAATTTTTAAGGATGACACTTGAATTGGATGGCAAACATCCACAAATCATGTCTGGATATGCTGATTTTTCTCGTTTAGAGGATTATGTTGCGTTGGAAAGTTTCGTCCGTCGGGCCCATCTCGGAGTCTCTCAAGTTTCTAAATTTTCAATTTCTACAATTTTAAATTTTAGATTCTTCGTGAAAATGGAGTCAATTTGGATGTAGATACCGAAGATGATTCAAAAGCCATTCATTCTGTATAATTTTAATTTTTTAAGATTATTATAAAAATGCAATACTTTAGTTAATCAGCACGGCTCGTGATCTTGTAGGTTCTTCAACTGTTGGTGGTAAGCAGCCCGTGCCTTTCCAATTGCTTCGTCGTTTTGAGATTGAATACGCGCTTGAAAAGGTTTTTTATTGTTGGTTTTCACAAAACAAATTTGTTTAATTTTCAGAAAATTTACAAAAATGCATTTGAATGTATCAGCGATGCGAAAAAATGCTTGACAAGTAAAAAGGGGAAAAACGAAGTGCTGGCTTCCGAATTAGTTTGAATTGATTTTGATTTTTTAAAATGTTTTTTTAGATATATCGAGCCTATTCATGTGCTTTGAAGCATTACTACAAGGAATATGGGATTTTTATTGAGACTCACAATGCGTCACGATATTTGCTTTTGTTTGCTGCTGCCACAACCGAAGATGAATTCATTTTGGAATGGGCCCAACTTGTTAACGGAGATGCGGACACGTATGTTTTATCTTAATTTTTCTGTTTCTAGAGTTTTTTTTTAGGAAATTTTAAATTCTCGCCTCCGAAATTGGGATTTTTTGGGTAAAAATCGAAAATTGTTGATTCTTAATATTTGATTTTCGGTATCCCTGTATCGAATCCTGTTATCTGTGTCCATTGTTGAATTTTCTATTATGAAACTTAAGAAACTTAGCAACACTGTCCATTCATATTCGACTAAGATTGACGAACTCAGTCCTTTTGATTGAGTTCTAGCTCAATCACAAATTACAAAATTAGTCTTTTTCGGAAGTTCTCCCAATTTTTATACATAACACTATCTAGTTAGTAAAGTTGACACAGATAATAGCAAAGACCCCATTCTTATTGAAAAATTTTGCAAATAGTCTATTCATTTCATATTCACAAATCTACTATTTTTAGTATTCACCGAAACTCATTTAACGGTTCGATTGACGAATCACGAATTTGGGAGATTTTGAGCAATATGAAGAAATTTGCCATCAGACTCCCTCAAATTGACAGTAAAAAAGTTGAGTACGAGTTGAATCTTCATGTGCCACATCAGGAAGGTGAACAGAAAAATCTCAAAAGAAAAAATTTGAAGATGGAGATTGACTTTAAAATGTCGATGAAGATTGAAAAGAAGCCACGTACCGAGAAGATTTACGGCTTGGGCCCCTTTGATTTTAAGTATATTTGCTTATAATTTAAATTATGTAAAAAATATACATTGATTATCTCAAATTGTGACCTCTTAATTATTTCTCAAAATATTTAAAATTGTTTTTGTTTAGGAAGAGTTTTTAATAAAAATTTTATTTCAAAATTTGTGTAGCACTTTTTTCGAATAGGTTGTTTGCATACCAATTTAATACTTTTCATGTTTTGATTCTTGAAAATAGGTTTACATTGATGTTGATTTGCATTATCAACGCCACCATCGACATCTGCAAAGGGCTGATTTTCCAAAAATTTTTTACTTGCGATTAAGTGGACAATAGCGATAGCCGGATAAGATAGCGTGTAAAAAGGAGAATGTTAGAGAAAAAGACGGATTTATTAATTAAATTCAGAACATTTTTAAGAGAGGAAAAAATCATTGATAATACAACTCAAAATTAAATCCGTCATGTATTTCGTAATCTTGTAGAGAAATATTGTCCTTGTAAATAATGTTCCACTTTTTGAGAACGATCTTGTCTGCTCTAAAATTGGATTTTTTAGAGAGAAAAGAGAAATTTACAGCTTGCCTTGTTCCAGTTTGTAGTGCTATAAGTTTTTTAAGATCTTCAATTTTATCTGTAGCATTGCCTAGAAAAAAATTTTTTTTTAAGTTGAAAAATTTTGACTTACATTTCACGCGCACTTTCTTACCCAATCGGTCATTGACTGTGATTTCAATCATTTTAAGGAATCTAGGTAGAACAGGAAAACCTTGGGGACTACTTGGATATACTTGAAAATCTCGCGATTAAGTGGGGCATTCTTAAACGCGTACAGCCCAAAACGGCGCGGGCTTAACGGCGCAAAGCCTTAACTTGGTGGAAAATTTCTGGCCCTTGACAATTTTGGTACCAATCTCTTTATCTCGATGAGAGGAATCGTTTAATACTAAATTTGGTAAGATTCGGACAACTTGAAGCAAGTTTTGGCTGTGCGCCGTTATGGTCGCGCGCCGTTTTGGGCGTGTCCCTCCTTGAAAATTTTTCTGCTTTTTTTGGTTGAATTTTCTTCTATTTTAGACTGAAAAAATTTTAGAAAATTTTTTTCATTTATTGTCTGTGGAAAATTATGGCAGCCTTGATTAGACATGCCTTAAAGTTGCGTTATTGGTTAATTGGAGGAGCTGCTGCTGGTGGTATAACTACTGCAAACGTTTGATTTTCTTTCTTTTTTTTTGCTTTAAAAATTTTTTTTCAGTGGATAGATGATCTCAAAAAATCGTTGCCAGATTTCCCTGCTTGGGCCAAATATGAGCACATTGCCTCAACTTTTGACAAATTTAGCCCGAAATTTAAGGGTTTAAATTTTCGGCAAGAGTTGGAGCGTCTTTGGCAATTGAATGAGCATAAAGGAGAAGGTCTTCTTTGGTCTGTTTTTGCACCTCCCTACATTTTGGCAAACGTATCAGGTGTTTCGATTGACTTTACAAGTGGGGCGAGTGAACGGATGGACTCGTCGTTTGAGGCGTCAACGCAGAACGGTTTTAAATTTAATTTTTTGGGGTTTTTTCTAGAATTTTGGGGGAATTCTGCAAGGTTTCCTTATTATTATGAAATTTTTGATATTTTTTGCTAAATTCTAAAAGTAATTATTTTGAGTGGGTAAAGTTTATAATTTAACTTTTCGAGGACTTGGAGAGTGTCCTCGAAAAGTTAAATCTGTTGTCTTTTCATAAAAGAACTTTATTTATCGTGAAATTAAAAATAAATCTTTTAGACGTTCCAGGAAACGACAGCAGCGCTGGTGGGGGTGGCAGTTCTCTCCTCTCCCGTATAAAATCAAAATTCTCCAAGGCCGAGGTTATCGATGCTGAGGAAGATGCAAAAATGTCTGAGGTTTATTTTTAAAAAATTTATTTAGAATCTTGTGACATTTTCTTCCACTAGTTATGGCTCTAACCCTCCCGAACTCCGTGTCCCAAATTCGGAATTTTTTGCATCTCCAAAATATTTCCCCTAGTTTAATTTAAAAAATTGCCCGGATCCTGTCTGTTTGATCTTCACTTTAATTTCCTTTCCAGAAAATTTTTCTTGACATTTCAGGCCTATTCTATATTTTAGGCTGTTTTTGTGTTTGCAGATTAGGAGAAAATTTTAAAGGGTGGTATAAGCTCAAAATTATTATAAATTTAATCCCTTTAAAAAATTTTTTTAATTTTTAGATGACTGAAACAGAAAGAATACAAAAATTGCAAGATGATTTACTTAAAACTCAGGTTTAATACTTTTTTTTTAATTTTTGAAGCAAAAATCTTTTTAAATTTCCCCTCTTTAATAGCTTCAATATCAAAGAGAACTTGAACTTCTTGAAAAGGAAAATAAAGTTTTGAAACAGAGAATATTACTGAAAGATGCGGGAGAGTTGAAAAGACAAAAGAAAATTAAGGTTGTTTAAATTATTTTTATATTTTGAAAATTTTTGGTTGAGAGGAGGAAGACAGGGGTTTAGGCTTTAGATCTGTTAATAGTGCTTTTCTAGCTTATTTCTCCTTATTAACTACCAGAGATGTGCCGGAACAGTCAGGTGTCGGAAATTGGAAGAGACGGAAATCGGAATTAGCTAAAAAATGGAAATCCAAGATTTTTCGGAAATCGGAAGAAAAAAACGTCTGAAATCGGAATTCCGACCCACCTCTGTTAACTACTTCCAATCTTCATAATTAAGTACCCAACTTTTTTTATTTTCTGTTCGAAGGTTACTTGGTGTAGGGGTAACGTTCTCGACTACGTTTAATTATTTAAATTTTTTTAACTTGGGTAATGGTCCTTTTCGTCTTTTTATAACTTTTATAATTCAATATTTTTATTTTTTTTTTAAATTCACTCAAATTTTTCAGCGTTCTCTTATCGAACTATATTCCGATATGCTCGATATTCTTATTGAATATGATTCTTCTTATGGAACGGCAGATAATCTTCCTAGAGTTGTTGTTGTTGGTGATCAATCTGCCGGTAAAACGTCAGTTTTAGAAATGATTGCACAAGCTAGAATATTTCCTCGAGGTTCTGGTGAAATGATGACTAGAGCTCCTGTTAAGGTTTTTTCTTGTTTTTAAAAGGAATTTTTTTTTAATTTTTTAAAAATTTTTCGTGGATTTGGGGGATTTTTTTTAATTTTATTGTTTCTGACTACCCATGGTTTTCGTGGGATTTCTTATTAATGAGTGGGAAAAAGAGTGGAAACCCACTACTTGTGCACGCCGAATCCATATAAGGGAGAAGGTACTGGCCAACTTTTGGGTCGGTGTCAAACTTATTGTTGGATTGAATGAACTTATTTGGCCGGTTTTTTTCGCATTTTTATGTGGCATTCGAAATTGGCGCAAATAATGTCCTAACTATGACACCGCAAAGATTACTTTTGCTTCCTTTTATTCTTAATTTTGTATCTTTTTCAAGGTCACCCTCAGCGAGGGTCCCTACCACATCGCCCAATTCCGTGATAGCAATCGCGAATTTGACTTAACCAATCCTTCAGACCTTCAACAATTACGCAATGAAATTGAATTAAGAATGTTAAATTCTGTGGAGGGTGGAAGAACTGTGAGCAATGAAGTTATTTCTTTGACTGTTAAAGGTTTTTTTATGATTTTTTAAAAATTAAAAAAAAAATTTTTAAAGGCCCTTCACTTCCAAGGATGGTATTAGTTGATTTGCCTGGTGTTATTTCAACAGTAACAACAGATATGGCTAGTGGAACAAAGGAAGATATATTTACAATGTGTAAACAACACATGGAAAATCCGAATGCTATAATTTTGTGTATTCAAGGTTCTTTTCGAATCTAAAAAATTTAAGTAATAGTCTTGTCTGTCTGGGCGTTATTTTTTTACTATTCCTCAATTCTCTTTTTTTTTGACTAAAGCATTTTTTGATTTTTTTTGGAAATTTTTTGTAAATTGGTAATAGTCTTGTTTGTCTGCGACATTTTTTTCTAGTCCTCAATTCTCCTTAATAAAGCATCTAGTACAAAAAACTAACAATAAGTTCCTAGAAATCAGCTAACGGTCTACAGCGGAAACTCAATCTGTGTAGATTATTATGTGGGAATAAAAATCCATTACCTAACATATGCCTAACGTTGACATTGGTTTAACTTAAAATATCAAGGTATTCATGGATTGGCGTTGGTTTTGCCGACCCGCTATTAGGCGCTATAATAAAGGTTGTCCCTGTCCTTGACTGCTTTAGTTCGACTCTTTTCTAAATATGTCGCGCATAGATGAGAGTTTAATTTTTTTGTTTTTTTTTTTAATTTATAGTAATAAAATTAAATTTAAAAAAGAATAAATTTTAAGATGGTTCTGTAGATGCTGAACGTAGCAATGTCACTGACTTGGTTAGCAGTATTGACCCAACTGGACAACGAACAATTTTGGTATTAACAAAGGTTTTCCTTTTTTTTTAATTTTAAAATGAAAATTTCATTTGATTTTTTTCAGGTTGACTTGGCAGAAAAGAATTTAAATAACCCAAATCGAATCAAAAAAATATTGGAGGGAAAACTCTTCCCAATGAAGGCTTTGGGCTATTTTGCTGTTGTAACAGGTACTGGAACAAAAGAATCGAGTATTGGTGATATTCGTTCTTATGAGGAAGAATTTTTTGCAAATTCTAAATTATTCAGGTTTCTTTTAAAATTAACAATAATTTGTGAGTAATGAAAGGTTTGGGATTTTCAACTTGAAAAATTTGACTGATACTAGTGGGAATTTGAACCTTGATCCCAAAATGTTGTTCCGATACTTTAGAGATCGACTTTTGTGGAAAAATTTGATTGTTACTTGTGGGAATTTGAATTTTATTCTGTCGTTCCTAGGCTTTAAGGGTCGACTTTTGTGGACATCCACTATATGAAAACAATCAATCGGTTGTGGTATTTCATAGTAAAGCGGCCGAACAAATCCTAGAAATAACCAAATTGAATGGTACTTGATCTAGAGCTCTCCCATGTAAAGGGTTCTTAATCGTTCAGTCATCCCACCGACGACTGATCTTTTTGATTTTTGATTTATTTACTAGTCTGGAAGGAGAACATCATTGTCATCCAAATTTCCTTTTTTTTCTTCATCTACTTTTTAATACTTTTTTAGAGATGGTATATTAAAAGCTACACAAATGACAACAAGAAATATGTCAATGGCGGTAGCTGATTGTTTTTGGCGTATGGTACGCGAATCGATTGAGGCTCAAGCGGATGCGTTTAGGGCTAGCCGTTTTAATTTGGAGACTGAATGGCGCAATACATTTACACATCAAAGGGATTTGACACGAGACGAGTTATTTGAGAAGGTTTGTGTTTCATAAAATTTTAAAGAGAAGGCTAATTTTTTAATGAATAGGATTTTGGAGGGGACCAAAAAAATAGGAAAGAGATCCAAATTTAGAATAGATTTTGGGTAGAGGGATATGACTGTTCTGCCCAGACAATAGTCGGTTGGGTTCCTGATTCCTAAAATGCGAATTAAAATTTTATCGGTAGTTCTAACTTTAGAAATTTGTCATTTATTTTTATGCCGGATAGATTCCTAATGCAATTTTTGTTTTGTATCAAGGCTGTAGCCAGGAGGTCGTTTTTATGGGGCCCTGTAGCCCCCCCCTCCCCCATGGCTACGCCTTTTCTATGTATACTTACTTAAAATCCGACAAAATGTCCTTAGAAACCAACTTACTTCATTCTTTTTCAGGCCAGAGGAGAAGTTTTGGACGAAATTGTTACTCTTTCGCTTGTTTCAGCCACAGAATGGGAGCAATTACTTAGAACAAACCTTTGGAATGCTATAGCACATCAAGTTTTTGATCAAATATTAATGCCTGCCTCAGCTGTAGATAATGCTGGATCTTTTAATACTCTTATTGATATTAAATTGAAACATTGGGCAGAGAAGGAATTGGCTCATAAATCTGTCCAGGTTTTTTTAATTTGAATTATGGAAAGGTGGGTTAGTCAATTTTAGCTTCTTACAAGTTTAAAAGCTTGGGGTTAATGAATTGTAGACCAAGAGTTGTAGACCTTCTACCACCCAATTGTAGACCTCCTGGCAAGAGGGGTCTGGCAAGAGAGGCAAGAGGGGTCTGGCAAGAGCCGTTGGCCTTTTGAGGCTGATAGTAGCGGTGGAGCCCTCCGCTTCCTGTACTTGAGGAAAAGGAAAATATTGGCCAAGATTGATCGACTAATTTTTCCACATACTCTTCGAATTCCGACTTAGGTTATGCTCTTGTGAGTTCCAAGGGATTAACGTAATTGTGAATTCCTGTAACTTTCCCCTCTGAGGATACTTTATTTCAATTTTCTAAAAAGAAATTTTTTCTAGGTCGGCTGGGAAACACTCTCTCAAATATTTCGCCGTCAAGTAGAAAAAGGTAGTGGAACAATAAGCAGTCATACAGCAAAAAAGCAGCAAAGAGACCACAAAAAATCAGGCGAATTATTAACTTCTTTAAAAAATGCTTTGGTTGAAACAGCACTTTCACAGCATAAATGGGAGCCTAAAGCACTTGATTACTTGGTTTTTTTAAAAAATTTTTGGGTTAAAATTTTCTAAAAAAAATTTTTTTTCTAGCGTGTAATTCAAC